AGTCGATGAAAACGCCGATCAACATTCACAAGTGAAGAGAACACATCAAGCATGGTGAGTTCTTTGAAAATGATGAGGAAGATTTCATCGGGTAGATGAAGTAGATTATTATTAGATTCGTTCATGTCTGTATGTACGGATGAATTTCTGTCATTCTTTATGTACATATTTCTTTCCATTTCCTCTTTGTCGTCTACAGGAACAATGACATGTTCACACCGACGGCGTCGATATGTTCTATGGTGAACTAAAGATATACACTAGATCAATTAAGAATGAACCAATCGATATGAATATTCATCATCTTTTCTTGCTTCATTTGAATAAAGTTTTCTCTTGCTGAAGTTCAACAGCTAGCCATGTTGATAGTATACGAAATGAACACAATGAAACTTTTGTTTGATAACCGTCGTGTTTTCCTTCCACTTCGTTCTTGAGGATGAATGTGATGTATGATTATATACAAAATGGTTTCAGATCGGTCACCAATGATTTTACTGCTTATGTAATACGTGACGCATATACAAACGATTCGTTCGAACGACATTAATAAATATTTTTTATATCTTTAATACTTAATGCACCACCGTGGATGTTGACTCAGCAGTTGTTTCTCAATGAATATTGCGCATGTGCCCGTAATGATCGTTGCTCATTGAGACGTATATGAGCACTAGGAGATGTGTGTGCTACGCCACCGCCTGAAACATTTCAAGAAAGCACGAATTTCTCTTATTGGCCGACTGACTGTTCAACCGAATAGGATTAAATAGAAACGATGGAAGCAGCAATCAAGAACCTTCTGCAAAGTCATTTTTAAAAGCCATTGTCATTTCGATCTATTGAACGAATGAAGATATGAGTCCTGTTGGGTTATGTGCGAGTACATGATGGCCTAAAGCTTTCATTCCACAAGTTGATGATTTGGTCTTTTCCAATAAGAGAAGTACATCATTCAATGGTCGCGCTTCCATTTTGGTGATTATACTTTTCAACCTCTCTCTCTCCAATCAAGAAGGACACACGCTTCTAACCAATCACATTTTTGTCCATTCATTCCCGTTCGAATTTCATTTCAGCTTTGAAATTCTAGATTTTATTCTCATCTCTGGAGAGAACAAACAACTAATCATCTAAGCGACATCTCGTTTCTATTCTTTTTTTTATGTCAGCTGGAACATTGAAGAAGAGCGCTGGTGAGATTTTCAAACGCTAGTTGGTCAACTAGCATAAATCATTATAGTGGTGAAGAGGGTTATGTTTGGCTTCGATATGATTCTCGACCTGATACTCATAAGATGTACCAAGAATATCGAGATTCAGCATGAAAATTAGTTATCACACAATATTATTGTGATATGTCCGTGAAACATCATGCTCGATCGTCGACCATTCAAGTCACAAAGGTTGAACGTTTGTCTGCTACGGAATGTCGTCTATGATATGTGACACACTTTGATGGTTTGAAAGTCAAGTAAGTAAAAGACGATATTTATTCGATTGAGAAGGAAAATGTGTTTTTTCTCTGCGAGATTTTCTACGGTTAACTCGACGAGGTTATCACAATCACAAAGTGATCTGACTGAGGTATGAAATGTTGGGAAGACCATCCATCGCCATGGACTCTGTTCATTAACGAAAACGGACGTGATCAAAATATTCTCGAGGAATAGATATGAGGAAAACAAAGAAAAGTAATCACATCTAAAGGAAAACACATTAAAAGAACGGAGAGATATGTTAATAGCTTTGCAGGCCACAGTATAAATAGTTTCTTTCTTTTTTCACCTAGATATACCCAAAATGTCGATCGAAGCGTTCCTTCGTACGCTTACTATTACCGATATTAGCGTAAGAAAATTCAAAATACCTCGATAGCTTAAAAGATGCCGAAAATATATTGGAGCAAAGAGCCAAATCGCATCAAACAATGATTCAGAATGTAAATATTGACATACAAACAAACGACAAATCGAAATTCTATCTCGAACAAGCCAAATTCGAGACTGAAATTATCAACACATTGAAAAAATTCATGGTTCTTCGTGGAACATGATTTTTTCGCTTCATTGATCGTAAGTAAGCGATCCAAGTTTTACAACACATTGTTCACATACATATTTCTAGAAAACACAAGCGGTCAACAAATATATCCATGATTGCATTGTTGTTTATTTTCACAAAAGAATAAAAGAAAACTATCTGAAATACATCTTCTGCTTCTTGTAGATGATTTAAATATCCACTTTAGCCGATGAACGTTCAATAATACCAGCGAAAGATTCGAGCAATGTTCAGGAATGCATTCAATTGTTTATAAGCAAAGAAGATTTGGATGGAAATGAAAAGCCGGCAGGAGAAGAGTATGCATGCGGATCATCCGACGAAATTGTTCTTTTATCTGTGTACAAAGTATAAACAGAAACGATGATGTACGAACAAGTTCTTGATTCAGAAAGTGTCCGGATGTTCTCGTACTTCATCGAAAACGTTTTTCACAAACTCGCAGTCAAACGAAATTGAATATTCGTGTGGACTTGCCAATCAACGATCTCAATCTTAATGATCTAATCGATGTGGCGTCCGAAAGTTATGAAGGTAATCTGCCGTTTAAGAGAAGTGATTCAATAGTCTTACGTATGTTTAGGGTCTGTCGCGAGTTTCAATCTATTTGGTGTATCGAATCGTAGTGACATGGCTTACTCAGGTCACTCTATCACCCAAGGCAAACATCCATGTACTAATCAATGGCATGAATTCAATGATTCATCAGTTTATTCTTTGAATAACAACTCTCGTCAAATGCCTGTGCTATTTTATGAGCGCAATAAATAATTAAATGATTCATTTTAGAAAGGGATTTTTTCAATCGAACGAGTTCTTCTTATGTGTGTCGATGTTTATTTATTTCTTGTATGCATTGAGATGTGCTCGCGGATTATTTTCTTCCGTCAAATTCTTCGAATTGTAGTCATAATAAAAGAAGAACGAAATCTGTTATTAAACGACGGAGTTCATTTAGTTTCGATAGAAACAGCTGCCTTTTCGCCAAAATTCCGATCCTGGAACTATCACGTTGTCGATATTTAAAACCAAATTACACTAGTAAACGATAAAAGCTGAACAAATGATACTCATGTGTTCAATGATGTTGAATATATTTTTCGTATCATTAAGTCTGTCAGAGAATGTAACTAATTAAGTAACTGCGATCAGAAGAGGCGCATACAAGCAGAATTGTCTGAATTTGCACCATGCGAGAGATGTTCGTGCAGGAACAATACTGAATCCGACACTGACGATGTATGCAATGTTGAAGATAGAACTGATAAGAAAATAGAACGTACAAGATGTTGTTCGATAGGACGGAACAGTTGAAAAGACGAGAATATTCATTGAGTTGCCAAGGATACCAATGAAAGCGAGAAAGCAACCAACATAGATAGTCGTTTGTTGAGTGATATATGACAAAAGCATGGTAGAGACAGTAAGATAAATGATGTTTGATGGTTTAGTAGAAAACGTTTATCTTTCTAAAACAAGATTTTTCTCAGAGAAAAACCCTTGTAAATTTTTGACAGTAAGTTCTTCAAAATAGAATCTTCAGTATAAAGACTCTAAATGATGACACATGTCATAGAGCCAACAAATTGAAAATACAGATGGAAAGATAAAAATATTTTTAAGGACTTGGAGTATTTTTCAGTCCGAGAACTAGTAACATCACCTTATCAGTGGAGATGTTGTATCTAGCAGTAGCGCAATCACGTTTTTTACGTCAATCAGCAAGTTTTGCTTGTATCGAAAAACACTGACTAGTAGATGAGAAAGGATTTTCTTGACGGACATACGAAACTACTGATAACATACAAAAAGCAAAGAAAGACGTAAAATGGTGTTGTTTTCATGAGATATATGAAACTCGGACGATTAGCGTAATCTTTCAAATTTCAATGAGCTAAGCATCATGTTCATGTAAAAACGAGGGAAAAAGCCGGTTATTAGTTATCTGTTTTGTAGTTGAAAATCAACCAAGATGAGATTATTTTAATGAAATTTAGTTTCTTCTGAGTTACTCTTATACGAAAATTGCGCGTAAAACTCAAATGGAAGAAAAAGATCAATTAATATCTTACCGAAAAGTAGATAAAAAATTTTCAATAGCTAAAATTCTCAATAGGCGAAGGTCGAAATGAATTCGACAATTATCCATTTGCCCTGCCCCTGGTTACGCCGCTGCTGTTCAGTTTTTGTTTATATCACACGTCGCATATTTTGCATCTGTTAGATTTTATAAAAGACTCATTTTGAAAATAGATGTTTTAATAAAAATCTATGTATGTGAAAATAGTTCTTAAGAAAATGATGATGCATTTTGTCTGTTTTTAGTTCTAATACAGTGCAATACTCGATTTCAGAGAGACTTGAATACACAAAATTCTTATTTTGTTTGTATAAAGATGAAGTTTAACTCTTCAAACATTTCTACGCAATGAAACAATGTGAAAATAGTATGAACTTTCTGAACATACCCTTCACTTCTTATCTTGAAGATGCGAGTGTGAAGAGGATGAGTCGTAAAAGAAATGTTAATAATAAAATCTTATATTAAGATGAAGATAAAACCTTACTTTCGATAATTAAAATTTTCTATATAAAACCGGTTCTACTTTATCCTTTTTTTTGCTTTTTACATTTCAAATGGAAAATCAAACAAATTTTCTTCTAAATCTAATTTCTCTAATAATCAATTTCATTGGTACAATCATCACAATGATTATTTTATTCTTAATTTTACTTCGACAAAAAACTTTCTTTGATATTCAATTACTTCTTTGTACAAATAATTATTTTGTTTTATTCATTCTTGGTATATTAACATTCTCAATTAATATTCGAGTTCTTCAAGGTGATTTAAAACGATTTACTGATCAACAAGAAACATTAATATGTCGAATTCATTCTTATATATTTTATACATTTATTTCAGCTATTTATCAATCATTTGTTTTACAAGTAATCAATTTTGTTTTTTCTTCGAAATATTTAATGAAAGTTTTTCGTTTTTAGTCAATCTTTCGTCTCTTTCGTATTCTTCATGTAACACAACAAATTCTATTAAATATTCGTTCGTATTGGTTAATGATTCCATCAGTTTGGTTATTTTCTTTTTTATTAAATCTTCCAATATTACTTTGGCATGGTCAACGATTGATTGACAATGAACATGTTTGTTTAGTTCCTAAAGATGATTCTCGAACAATTGCATATTCAATTTTGACAATTTATGGAATTCCTTTTCTTTCCATTTCATTTATTTATATTCGTGTAACTCAATTTTTACATAAACAAAGTTTAAATCGAAATCTTTCACAAATTCAACGATCTCAACAACGAGACATTGTGGTTTTTCGTCGTATCATTCTTATTCTTATCCTATTAGGTATTTATGGTATCCCAACGAGTATTATGTTAATCATTCTTGCCTTTACTAATGAACTTGCCTTTTGTTTTTATCGCGTTCTTGTATTAAGTATATCCATATGTGTTTTAACATTAAGTTTAGCATTAATTTATATAACACCGCAAATTAATCATCAAATTCAAGTTTATTGTCGAAAGACAAGAGTTTATCCAATAGTTACCGTTCAACAGAACACTAATCTTTGAAATTCCATATTTTACAAATTTATAATCGAGCCGGGTGAAAACATTCTCGTAATTCCTGTCGAATATAATGTTATGGCAGTGTTTATTTGTAATACATCATTCGAGCGCGTAAAACAAAAGATGAAATGCAATGATAACAATAAATCACTGAAAAATGTGATGGTTATAGTTGGTATTGGGATTCTTAGCGAACCACCAAATCTAATCTTATCATTATTTGTATGATTTTTGTTTCATTGTTATTATCACGATTGATATCGTCGTCTTTGAAGGAGCTTTTTCCATGACTTTTCAAACGATTTCTTGTATAAATTCGATGGTAAGATATAAATAACAAAGATAAGTATCGGCGGTATGAACGAAATGAAATAACTGAAGAGAAATAACCATTTATATCGAGTAGTATCGACACATTCAGATGATAATGAGAGAATAAGATGAGGTAATGATAGGAATAGTAAAATCATGGGACTAATTATTAATTGTTTATGTTTATAGAGTTGTTTGTAAATATGAGTTCGAGAAGTGTTATTTTTTCGAATTTTTGACCGTTGTCGGGTAGATCCACATATAATAAATAATGCTGAACAAAGATTCGCAAGAAATGGATCAATCAGATGAACGAATAAAATAATTCTGTCATAATTAATATTGAAACGAAGAAGAATAACGAGTTATATATCAAGTACTAACCTCCATTTTCTTCAATTTTTTTGAATAATTGAGCCCATAACACAAAATGATAAGATAAAAATATTCCAGTCGTAATCAAAGAAGTTAACGATGATGCAAAAAGATTTATTCCACAATCAACTTGCAAACACGACAACGGTATTTAACTGAATACTCTGTTGGTTACATAGACGTCATAAGGCCGTTACGACGGGTATCATCAGTCGAACGTCACGATAAGCTCACCCTGATCAACGAAAAAACATGCGTATCGACATCACCGTATCCTATCCATGGGTAATCACTTCAATACGCCAGCAAAAACACAACAAGACGTCGGCTTGAGGAATTTGAGTGGATTTGTCGTATTCACCATGATACGATCGTGTCGATCCATTTGAAAAGCTGAGAGATTGAGTGTGTTTGTCGTATCCATCTCGATACCCATATTCCTCATCGATCTACCAAACCTGAGGAATATGAGTTGATTTTGCATGATGATTTAATTGCCGCAGGAATGAACTAATTCTATTCTTCAAGCACAAGAGTAATGGCTATTTTACGACACGATTGTGTTTATATTCATATTCAAAACGTTTTATGAAAGAAATTACGTGCGATACTTTTAAATTCAAACTGAATATAAATATACTCATGTTCACGCATTTGGTTGTCACAATATAATGGAAAATATTGCATGAGAATGTCAGTAATGATACGTTAATAGAATAATCGGTCATAAAATATTAGTTCATATGTTTGAAATATTCAAAGCATGCGAAGGAAATCATAACATTCTTTCATTATATTTCTATGTACGCAACCATTACATCCACTCGATCCCTCAGCTTTTCAAATGGATCGAAATGTGCGTAGCGTGGTGGATGGCGGAGAGGAACGTAGTACGGTATTGGAGCGAATATGATGGATTTTGATGAATACCCGTCGTACCGATATTATGACATCACTCGTTGGTTGTGGTTGAACCTCACTATTCATTCATCTTCGTGGTGATTTATTTCAAAATCCTTTAGTAGTGACAAAAAATACTTTCTATCAAGTCTCAAAAATTAGTACGAATCAACTCCAAGATAACTGTCGAAAGTTCATTTATGATGAGAGAGAACAGCCTTGTATATAAGTTACACTGGAGTACTACAAAAGATTCGTTGGAAGTCCAAGCTTTATCTCTCACCCGTGTTATGTTTTATTATTCAGCCGAAATCAAAACCGGAAGTTTCATTACATGGAGATCATCTGGTCTGCATAACGATTCAAAGATTCGAAACAAAACTATTGTCGATTTAGTTCTTCGCTGATGGAGACAAAAAAAGACTTGACATTTATGACACTAAATTAGCAGCCTGATATAGGATCTATTGTATTCACTCGTTTCGACATTAAACTCACGAAGAAGGGTGAGAATATTATCATCGAGATCACAGCTAGTTGTGTGATTTTGGTCTGAAAATGTGTTGGATAACTTCATGTATTTGTCACCATATGAACCGAATGAATATGGTAAAGTTTCAATTGATGGAAACCTAGCCCTCATGATAAGCAGTTACTGCACCGTACGAAGAGAGGGGAAGACATATGGGGAAAAATCCAGAAGACGTGTTCGTTACAATAAACAATGAGTCATTAATGTATTGTCATTCTGATGAAAGGCAAAGAAATACAACGTGACATTACGGAAAAAACCAACATATATTGTTATCGATGGTAATGAAAATATTCGTTTTTTTCTTGTTCTGCATTTATCGTAAATGTTTAAGCTTTTGCGCCACAAGAATCACGACTATCAAGAAGAAGGACACAATATTAAAGTATTCAGCCTGAATTAAGTCAGTATAAAATTATACATCCAAAATTCTTAGAAGAAAATTACCGAATGCTGTTAAAAATGCAAAATTAATCAAATTGTAACTATACTCTACCATGAAGAACATAGCAGGAGTTGATAAATTATACATGTTTTCATTTTGAATGTGCCAGAAACTGTTAGGATTGATTCGCCTGGAGATACTCGTATGGCTTTTATCGTTTGTCTATGTTGAGATATTTATAATTTAAAAAAGCCAATTTTGTCTCATATAAATACTCAGATCTATCCAAAAACGACATACACTATGTATATGCTTTCGAAAAGAGCTTACTTCGAGCTGAGAATTTAGTTATAGTCTTTTTGCAACTGCCAGACCTGAGATCGATTCGTGTGTGCGATGTCAGTTTTAAGTATAGAATGAGTGAATACCGAGATAGCCTACAATCAAAGATATTACCAATAACTTATGAAACATGTCTTATTGTGATAATTTCTTATAGGAGATAAGTACGTGATATTATCAAAACATGATACACTCGCTATCACGACAATTCAGCAGGTCCGTGGAATATACCTTGTTTCTTCATTATAATGATATGTGATGCTTCTCTTATAGTCGATCAAGTGAGATTGAAGACTTGGTCAGCATTGCCAATGAAAATTTCAAATTGCTGATAGATGAGTTTCTACGTATTTGTGCCTTGATCGAGCAAGACAATGTCATATACCCACACCTTAAACCAGCTAATCGCTTTACCAGCACGTCGATTGACGATGTACGGGCATTTATAAATGACATAGATAAATTCAAAAACGCACTGAATCAAGACTTTCACAACGGAAAATATCAGACTCAAACTACTGAAGACCCTCGTATAAATCCTTACAGACTTTTCTATCGACTGTTAACACGTACATTATACAAGTTGAAGATTTATTGTGCTACTTTCAGCGAGATATCAAGGAAGCTTGACTCGCTCTATACTGCAGCTTGTCAAGTACTAACTAAACAGAAAGATCTCTATTATCAACTTTCTATTAATGGCAACAGCAGTGACCTACTCGAATACGAACTTAAATTAGAACAACGAGAGCACCAATATTATTGTGCGAATGAGAATCAACACACCTTACATACACTTAAAGAGAAGCACTCAACAGTACTCACCACGTATCTTGATCAATGTATGAAATTTCACAAACATCTGTACATCGATAATATCTGTGAAAATAGCGACATATTTTTGAATGGCTTGTCTGTCGATGAAAGTGAACGGCAACGATTGAGAGAAATTCTCAAATGTATTCCTATTCCACTTACCTGTCCAAATTTACGTACCAGATTGAATAACATTCCTGGATCTTCTAAGCAAATGCCGAATAAAACTTTATCGACTTCGTTTATTCCCAGTAAACCTCTCAGAGATGAAAAAACTACTTCAGTGCCTGATAATCATGTTAATCAAATTCTTCAGCATCATCGTTGGATTGTTCTCCTAGGTGATTCGGGATCCGGAAAAACAACATTTACCCGATGGTTGACCTACAAGTTTGCACAAGCTTTGTCACATGATCACGAACAAGTATCATTCGGAGATGATGACAAAATGAAATGCTCGAGTCTTGTTCGTTTACCTATTTTGATCTGTGTGAATGAATTCACTGCATGGTTACAGGAGCATCCAAATGCCACACTATTCGATTATTTTGGACAACACACATGGCAGAATCAACCATACACGAACGATAGTATCGAGTTTATACAAGATTTCATTCGATATCGGCATGCTTTGATCATAGTAGACGGTCTTGATACAATAGATACGGTTGAACTTCGTGATCAAGTTTTGAAACTTATAAAGGATTTTATTGACACATTTGTGCTTTCAGCAGACTTCATCTCTGCTTTTGATGATGCCAACTTGGCGAAAATGTGGACAAATCAAGCAGACGATTCTGAAGGCTTAGAGATTGGAAATGTAGTCATAATTACCAGTCAAGCAGCTGCTTATAAGATTTCCCCGTTGCAAAATCAACTTATTAGCACTCATGTAATTCTACCTATGAATATTGAACAGATGTTGGAATTTGTCGACACATGGTATGCTAATGTACAAACAAATTTAGTCAATTTAATGAGCAACGTCGCGCCAACTTTAGACAAGAAACTTAGCGAACGTCTTTGTCTGTTACGCGAAACTCTTCACTCGAAGAGAGAAGTGAAAGAATGGGCATCGAACTGTCGTCTCCTGTCAGTTCTATGCACTATATCTGTTCGACAAGACATCGAAGCATTAGCGAATAGACGAGCATTATTGTATGAGCAAATAGTCGAATTAATTATTCAACAATCATCCATTGACACTGATTTGCTCAAATACGTTCTTTCTCAATTCGCCTTATATATCCATTCGAATTCAAAGTCGGGCCGTATTGATGAATTCGATTTAAAAGCACTTTGTCGGATTTCTCTTAAACAGTGGAACAATTCAAACCCACATAATCAATCCTCTCTATCCTTGCCGCAACTTCGATGCAAAACAGAAGAATTTACGAAAAAACTCGGCCAAGCTACAGGCATAGCAGCCATTCCGTATCTTAATACCTTTGAATTCTTCCACCCAAGCTTCCGAGAATACTTTGTTCATTTATCGTTCATGACAAAAAATTTATCACCTGAACAATTAGCTGTTTGCTGCTATAACTTCTATTCTCGACTGCTAGCCCATGGTCCTCTTCTGTTCACTCTGAGCAAAACTAGCTCGGAGTGGGATTTAGAACAATATGATCGCTTCTGTAATCATTTAGTGTTATATAATAGTCAATGCAATAAATACGCTCCTTTAGGAGCTTTGTTATTCGTTGAATCTTTGGCGAACCTTGTTACTTTACCGTCAGAAGCAATCATTTTCAAAGCATTAGATCTACTATTAGCGGGAAATAATGACGGACCAGAAACATGTCGCTTTCAAGCCAAGCTCTCCGACGCTTTGACGATCTTACCAATCCCAACAATTCATCGATGGTTGGCAAATGTTTTGTCAAGTAATGCTGATAATCGTCTTAGATTAATAGCAATACTACCTGGATTAGCCATGGGCGAAACAATTTCCAAATGGATCGATTTGTATTTTCTTAGCATCATTGGTGATTATCTCTACCACTTTGAAAAGCGATTTAGCATTTATCTAGAAAAATTTTTGACAGAATGCAGTAGGATTTCTTTCTCCCAACAAATGAAACATATATTTTGTGACCCGCGCAGTCAGCAGTCGACTGTACCTGATGTGGTTACAAACTCAGATCGCCACGTCTTAGCAGCTATCATAGCTTTGTATGGAGGACTGAAAAGAACTGAATTAGTAAAAAATAAAGAACGATCAGTAACAGTTACTTTTTCATGTCAGCGCATACATCGAAGTTCGTCTTTGCACAAGATGTTCATTGATTATCTCAATGTTTCCGACCACAAAACCAATACAGTTCAACATCTGATCGATCAATGTCATCAAATTCTAATAAACGCTGAACCCACCGATGTATCTTCGAAGTTGATACATAGTTTTATTGTCTTATTCTGTCTGAACGGCATCAGTCCACCATCAAAATACGAGCAATATCCGAGTCAAAACGCTATGCATTTGGCTATACATCAGCTAAAACTTCTTCGAATTTATTTGCACGATTATTACATCAACATGAGATCAAAGAATACAATTGACATTCCTAGATACATCGAAGCAAAAGATTATCCGGAAGATTTGATGATTGCTCAGGCATTGACTCATGCTTATGGACTGCTAGTTTGTGTCGGTCTTTGTCCGCATAAAAATCGTCCCTATCCACTGAATCACACGCATTATGTTAATCTTCAACTTCCAATGTCGTTCGACAAAGAGCGATTTCTTGCGAGTGGTGATGATATACATCTCGCTGTTTTATCATTTATTTATTGCATTCCGTCAGTAGACTGTGTAGATTCTAATTATATTGTGGAGCTTGAAAAGAACGATTTAGAACTGATTAAGCGCGGAGAACATCCATTTCAATTGCTCGAAGATAAGCCGGCTCTTCTACTTATCGCCTATCTTCCAAAACACGTGCACAAACTTTATACTCATTTAGTCCAAGACCATGGATCTTTAGAGTTCGTGCATCTTATTTTCGAATTTCTAAATCAAATCCCGTCCATGGAATTATGTTCGTTACGCCTGTGGACTCTACTTGTTATTCTCGAACCAGTCTTCAACAAATACCAAGTAATGAATTTTCTTCGTGTTATGATTAACCAAAAGGCTGAGACGGTTAACGGTGAACTTTATGAATATCTGATCGAAACATTAATGAAAGTCACTTTCATTCAGTCGTTGATGGAAAAATTATGGTCATTTAATAATTCACAAAACCGTTTCTATTCTATCGAAGCGGCCATAATTGAAGAACGACAGTGTCTATCAATTACACATACTGGTGATGATTCCGATGACCAACGAATTTACACGGCCGGTATAACTCTTGCTAATTCGACAGAAGACAAAACGATCCATGCACAAATTCAATCAATGATTGCAAATATCAATCATCCATTACGAAAACTAGATGCGACTATCGCACTTTCTCATGTAAATTTCGGTCGAAAAATACCATTATATGAAAATCAAGTATTTCATATACTGAACAAATCCTTGAAGGCAAATACCAAAGATTTTCTTCTTTGTATCACGGTATTCATTCATTACATGCTGCGGTTTGAGAAAACTAATTCCACTCATAGATATGTATTTCTCTCCAAAGTATTTCAACACCTTTCAACAATTTCCATGGCTGAACAACAAGCTGTTTGCCAAGCATTAACACATTTCTCCTCTTTACGACAGATTGTATGCCGATTCGTACGTCAGTCCAATTGGAAGGATGAAACAAATGCACTGACACAAGTCTTTCAGATCAATTCAGCTTTATTGACTGATATGTTTCGTTCATCGTCATTTGACCTCTCACATAACTCTGCTGTTCTTTCATCATGTATGTATCTGAATGCAATAGCTTATGACATTCAGTTGGTCGAGAACTGGTTCTATAGTACTACTGATACGAACGACGCATCGCCTTCGACGAAATCTTCCATTCCATTCGACGATCTCCTACGAGAACTCAACGAGTACATCAGCATTTTTGATCGATTGATGTTAAGTTCAACGATAATCGCAAATATTACAAATCTTCTTTCGTTGTCTTTGTCCGTTATCGATGAGTCTCAGTTAATGGCTCTGAATCAATCGCTACGCTATTTTAGTGAATTAGAAGACGAGGAATCGACCTCAACGATTATCAATCAATGGTTACCATGGCACGCCGATCCGAAACGTAAACTATTCGCTTTTCATGGTGCAATATTGCTCGCTGAACACGAAGTCTGGACATCTGACGTTCTCCATATTTGCTGTGAGTTACTCAATCATAGCGATGATTTCTTTCGAAGAAAAGCATCAAAGAAGCTGCAAACGTATGCAGACTTACATGAACACAACAACTTAGACATAATTATCGGATGGCTAAACACGTGGAATGAATATCCGTCGGAAAAGCTTATGCAAGTGAAACAGAGTCTACGTTGTACGTTTTATCTGCATTACTCCAATGAAATCGATCTAATTATGCAAAGCGAACGTCAACGATTTGACGCTACACAGACAAGCAACTCTCAATGGAATCTTCTTCCTCTTCAAATTTCTTTTTTCGACCTAATTGGGACTATTAGCTTAGATGGTGCAGGTTATATGCAGAAAATCTTCCAAAATCTGTCGAACTCCGATGGTTCAACCGACAAAACCTTTCTATTATGGGTTATAAATCATAGTTTCAACAATGAATTTCTTGGAAAACAAATGAGCAAGTATCTCGATTTTCTATTTCGACTTATGCATGATGATCATAGTGCAGAAACACGAGTTGCTGCTGCGCGAGCTGTAATTTGGTGTCAAGAAGATGATCATGTCAGAAATAATCTATGGGATATTATACGAAAAGCAATAGATAATCACGGTTCAATTGAAGACGGACGTCTTTTAATTGCTTGCTTTTGGTCGTTATATTTTGGAATCCAATCCATCAGAGAAGATGAGCTGAAGGAGCTGCAATCAATATACAGGAATTCATCCGACCTCATGATCCGTAAGGCCACTCTGTTGGGTTTAAATCAGCATATAATTCAAAATCCACGAGAGTATTCAATTGACGATGCTTATTCGTCGTTTGTCATGAATGTCGACTATTATTTATCGAAGAATGGATATCAAAATGGTTATGATGCGCCTTTTCATCAGGCCGTCAAATGGATTATTGAGCATGAGTCACAAATATTGCGAACATTTGTTCAGCACACATTTGACGCATTGAATAATAATACATGGCAACGTTATGAAATGATCCAAATAGCCGATTACTTATGCGAGGAAATATCTGACAAATTTCGTCAAGTTGTTCGTCAAAGTTCATTCGGCGAACAATCTTTCAAGGATGCTGTTTACAAAGCTTACAGAGAAACCGACAATTACCGACAAAAGCTTTCGTGTTTTTATGTTTACGCTAGTTTTCAGCACATAACAGTCGAGTACGTATCGATGATGATGATATTAGCTCTACAAGATGGTATTGAATCCAATCCTGCTCGTTCTTCATTACGTTCAACGATTTCTAAAATAGAAATTTTGCGAGACCGAGAGCCAGTTGAATTACTCTTGTCATTCATGCACGCTGAATCCCTTTGTCAACGCATCTATGCAGCTAAGACACTCTGCCGTTTGGTCAATATTGATGAAATTTCAGTTACCGAATGCCGACAGTCCCTTATTACAGCAATCGAAGATCCTTGGTCGCATCAAAAATCGTTCCACCGTTTTTCAACAGAACAATTAGATTCTGAGTTGAAACAAGTATTTCATGTTTTGCTATTCGGAAAAATCAACCCGAACCAGCCGACCTTACCTTCACTAGACATTTTTTATGAAAATACCTCTCGAACAATAGCATCAAGTATGTTTTCTGTCTAGATCGATCAATCTGATCGGTGCATATCTAAAAACAATACTTGAATATCCTTTTTTGGATTCAGCATATTGATTAATCCAAATTTGAATTCTATGAGTTAAAAAACCTACATGACGAACATTGCTGTTCGACGGCAAATGATTTTGTAACCATTGAACAAGTTCTTGTTTGTTGACACTACGATTGATGTTCTCTTCTTCCCATAAATATATCAACGAACGAATATTCGATTTTTTTCTTGATAAGATCAGGAGTCGCGGATTGATCTGCCACACTAATTGAAAGCAGTCCACATTGACGTCGTAGTAGTGAATTGATCAACTCTAAACATTGAGAAGTATCAAGAGAGCAGTTATTTGATAATGCTTCCCGAAATAGATCGAGTCGACGAACTGATGGGTTACTGATCCTCCATACTATCGGTAATAAATCCGGTAATGATAAATCAAATGTTAATCTATAAAGATTCGGTATTCAATTGATCAAGGTTTGCAACTCCGACTCAACAGTGTTGTCATAGATGCTTACTGTTAACCATGTCAAACTATTGAGCGTCGGAATGACTGAGTAATGGTTGCTGTGTGCTGGAAGTTCAATATATGTAGAGAAGAAAGATTTGTAAAACGAAATATCGGATGTACACACCAGTTATCAATATTAGTATTTTTCAAAGTTAAGTTGCGCACTAATTCATATGACCAACAGGTTTCATCGTTTGGAATTGTCGATTTGAGTTTTGAATGGAGTATCGATCTAAATGATAAAGTAAGGTGTATAGAGTATATTTGAATCATTGTCAGTCGAATTCCATTCACATCGAACGAACCATTGATGTTCAGCGAGCCAAAAATCGGTTCGAAATGTATCCAATAAATCATCAATTTGTTTTTCTTTGTCATCACTTTCTTGATTATATTTGAATTCCGTACACAATCGGAATGTTTTTATGTGATTCGTTATCATTCATGATCATTTAAGAAAACAGTCGATGTATTAACGATCAGATGACGTAAATTCGATATGTTTTGTAGAAGAGTAATCAAACCAAAAGTTGACGCTAACATGTTGATGTTCAATTTTGTTCAAAATGAAGCTTTTCTGGACCACTGGTGAATCAACACCAACGTCGGCAAAACATGTTGCTTGAAAGTGACGAAGTCGAGATGTCAAGTTGAATAGATTAATCAAGTCTTTGAAATTAAATCGATAGAATCTCATGAAAATGAATTGAATTGATTGGAAAAGAACGAATTATAGATGATATCATATTGCAAGGAAAAATATTTGAGTTGAAGCAAATGCCGAACATTGTTAATGAAATTAAATTAATTAGACCATTTTGCTGCGTTGAGTAGCAATCAATGAAGGTTAAACGTGTCAGCGGATGTGAATATGACGCTTGATTGAGTTTTTCGATTGAATTTACTTGAATCATTGATAAACATTGTAAATTAGGAAATCGATCGGATGAAGGAAAATCGTCAATAAGATTTGTAGTTTCATCGTCATCGGAAATGACCAATGAAATCACTCGATCGATAATGAATGGTAAATACTGCGGGAGTACTTGATGGAAAGCAGATTTAGATATAGATTGAATATTCAATCGACATCGTCGACTACATGTCAGAAGTAATCAATCCGTTAAAACGATAATTCTGAGCATAAAAGCTATGAAATAGATGAATGTCATTGAGATATTCAAATATATTCCATAGAAAACTTCATTGGGCAGCGATTCGAGCGTCATTTCAGGAAGTATGTGTATATGAAGAAACCAAGATCACAAGTTATTTTACAACCACCATACAATTCTGCTCCTCTAACGCCATCTATATACAACGCTTCTATATTGTATAAAATAAGCTAAAATAATAGTTTTCGTCGAACAGATTGCCGGAAGCGACTGAATGACAGCACAAATACATAATAGCCTTCATTACTATCGCTGTCATTGCTTCTTGTAGTAGTCGGTAACTATCTTCTGTTAGTTTGACAGTGACCAAATTATACACGCTGCGTGCCCCATATGAAACGAACCTAATGATCTGAAAGAGACCATTCGAACCAGCTGTATATCCACATATTGTCCTGCAAGAGTACGAGTGAGATATCCGAATGGCACAAATCAAAACCAACAGATAGAAGGGAACGTAGTTCGCATATCTTGCATTCATATTTCCACGAGCTTTTGTTGTAGACAAGATATCTGAATACATCAGATAATAATGACGATTCGACGAATGGGTCGATGGCTGCTAAGCATGAGCATGTGATTGTAATTAAAAGAGGCACAATAGGAAAAAATGCTCTCATTTTACACAGTATCCCTGTAAAATCCATACCATATCCAGCACTAGCGAGGCGCGAAATCAAGAGTGATATCAATGTAAACAATGTTGAAAATGGAGCTGATGTGGAAATAGAAAGTGCACTATGTTTTTCGATACGATCCAGTAGTTGAGAAGACGAGAAAGAAACAAGCATACAGATAGTTGTTTGTTGATTGATGTATGATAAAGACATAGTCGATGAGTTGCCACAAATGATGTATAGGGGTTTATAAGTACATACATCGTGTAATGATATAATCAACTTTTCACAGGAACGATAAACGCACCGCACGTTTGGTATCAAACTCATTAAATATGGAAGTGCATTTGTCATTATCAGATTTTAAATGTAAGAGTTTATAATGATGATGTGTCTTGCGTGAAACTTCTGATGATCACAAACAATGACAGACACAATAATAACGTCTGCGTTTGATATACGCAAGAAAGACTAGATTAGTTAATAACTGTGCTTCTTTGTTTTAGCAGTAAAATTAAAACAACTATAAAAAGTATACTTTTTTATTTTCATAAAGTGAAATACGATCATCGATTTGACATAATGAGCAGGTGAAAACATAAGATTTACCTCATATTGGGGGTATATATTTCGCGCTCTATAATGAATTAATCTTGCCAGCATCTACAAATATTACCTCGTATGCTATTGCACATTGTATATTTTTATCGTTTTTACTTGACGCAAAGGATAGGTATTAAAAAATTGAAAAGAAATAATTGTCCTTATTATGCCATATGGTTTCAATCAATCATGTAAACAAATTTTAGTCTCTTCTGTGAGATACGCTAATTTACTTAATGCTCGTTTATTTCAGAAATTCTATTGATTACGAGTTATGGTGAAGGGTAAAGTTGGAACAGCTACACCGACTTTTCTTAAACTGTGACCGGTAGCTGTTAATCGTATCGTTTTGTCGATTTGAGTTGGTCTTCGCCAGAATAACACTTGATTTCGAACAGATCGACGAAATCGACTTGACGACATCAGAAATACATAACAACTTCCCTAAACAAATAATCATCCTTCATCACTCTCTCCTTCCTTTATGCTTTCACTTACACAATAGTAGAAATAAGGCACAAGACTAAGCACTGTTATTGCGAATGCTTCTTGGAACAACCGATAAGTATCTTTTGGCATTCCAGTCGTCACCAAATTATACACACTGTATGTTCCATATGGAAAGAAGCTAATGATCACAAGAATGATCTGAAAGAGAACCATTCGAACCAGTTGTCGATCAGCATATTGTCTTACAAGAGCACGAGTGAGATGAATGTTGCGATAAGTGAGATATCCGAATGNGATTTGATCACAACTATTCGTGTGGAACTTGTGACCGAATAATAAAAAATCAGAATGGTTAACGAAAGAAGAAAAAGAAACAGATACAATCGAGTTGATTGCCGTTCGTTTTCAACCACTTCTTCATCTTCGATTCCACTTTGAAAAAGATTTAGTTGAAAGAAATACGATTTAAAACTAACAAGCAAGAAAAACAGTTTAGCAGTCAACATCATTTGTCGTTCATTGTGAAATGAACTGATGAAAGTATTTGGTTAATGACTTGTTTCCCCTAAAACATATGGATTCTGATAAAGGGACAATTTGCTTAAGTTAAATCATTACATTTAGTATTTTAGAGAATTGTAGCAAAAACGAGGCGTACTGATACAATTTCCTAACGGTATACGAACGTGTTGATGTTTAACGGGACAAATATTCATTGTTCTTAGAATAGAATAGACTAGAGTCCGGTCTGAGCTTTGACTATTGTTCGTCATCAGGTCTTACGCTGATATCTTGCATTTGTTGTTTCACACTGTAGACAAATACAAGGAAACACGTCAGCCATTAGAAAAGTGTTTTTTGTATTAGGCTTTCTCATTTTCAGATAGACATGAGAATATCTTCATGGTCATGACGACAAAGAAAAGCTAGTAATAGATTTTCTAGAACGTCAGAAAAATGCGAACGTCATCGGAATGGAGCAAAGAATCAATTTAGTCGATGTCGTCATTTTAACCACGTTCTATCCGTGCATATGTTCTGCAGATAGTTTTGTTTCTTTCTATATGTCAACATTGTCAGCTTGATACGAACACGTAACTCCTGATATTAAAGTCATGTTTTTATTGTTTTTATATATGAAAAGTAAAGAAAAATTATGCCTGGCTAATTGAAATCAGTAATTGATTGTCTTAGAAAAAAATAATAAAAGAATGTTAATGAGATCCACTTAGCACCTAAAAATATACGTTGTGCGCTTTCTAAAATCTTCAAAAATAATGGAAAAGGTCGTTTTTATTATGCTGAAAGTTTATTATTTAACCATACGTGCGTAGGATAGTATATACATGAATTTCCTTCTCCTTTTATATTGAAGGACTTGACTAGCATAGATGAGGGTGAGTAAATTCGATCTTTTAGCGTTTCATGGTACACCTTCGAGTTTAATCGAAACTATTTTTCATGTTATTAATAGAATTGACTGAAGTGGTTCCAAATACTTGACTTCCTTGTTGAAGTTTGATACTACTTGTCTCTCATCAATATCAATAGAATGTCAAAATAAGAATAAAGTTCGTTGTTGCTACATTGAATTATCATTTTATATTGATCTTCTGGACTGTACCGATTAATGCGGATTATTTTCATACGCAGATGTTCACATACGTGTGATAAATATTTCAGATCCTGTGGATGGAATTAAATAATACAGTATTGCCTATGCTATTTTGAGGACATTTTACATACACTGCTAACATTCGTACTTTCAAAGTAATGTACCCATTTAAAAGAAAAGTTTTTGGTACAATCCCTTGTGGGATTAAAAATGTGAAATACGATAAATCGGCTCCTATCATAGCAATGAAGATTTCTGATCGAGAATTGTTCTGTTTTTACATTATTTCGAAAATCTGAATTATCTGTGATAATTTTCATAGATCAATGGATACAATGTAGATCAATGAGCGTGAGTGTAGGTAAGCTTGATGTATAAATAAAGCATCCTCAACATAGAATCCTTGCGTCTGTCCCTGAGGGTCCACATTTCTGCTTTTAAAAACTTCAAGGCTCTCTTTTAGATCATGTTTCACAAAAGTGCTAATTACTTCCATCTGATGAATATGTGCTTATATCCTTAACCATAAACAAAAGTAGTCACATTGAGACACGTCATGCGATCTTTTATATTGCGACTAATCTGCTAAAACCGCCATGAATGACCCTAGACACGTCACCAACGCCTAAGTTGTCTACGTGGCTCGTATTACAGGAGCCATTCATACTGATTACACAGTTCGTCGGTATGTTGAACGGAAGAGAGTGTAGATACCGGCGTTCACAAAGCAAAAAAGATGACAGAACCTGACCGTATGTGGAAAAGTACTAAGAATATCAACGGGCGTTAATTCGATGAAACACCATGATTATTAATATACTAATAGATATAAAGAAAATAATTCTCATTCATGACTTTCCTTTTTTTTCTTTACGCATAATAAATTCGGCATTCAACCACGTTTCCAAGCAAAGAACAAAAGTCCTTATTTTGTCGACACACTTTTTCTTCGTTCGAACTCTCGATCGCGTTTCGACTAGCAATGTAAATTCTGACGCGAATCATAAAAACGTAGAAGATGTTTTCGTATAATCAAGAAACAATACGCGATACGAGAGTTTTTATGACGGTTGATAATTGATAACATCGCCAAATGACAGGTAGCGTTAAGTGTAGGTTCATTTGATGGATTGTTAGCATTCGTTTTCAAACGAACGCTCTTCTAATCTCTCTCTTCAGATAAGTACAGACTTCAGAACGAATATGAATTTCTGTGGAGAGAAATCTTTTCCATCAAGTATAGTGGTTCTTCGCTTCTTCTCTTTGATTTTCAACGAGTTGCTAATCTGGTAGATCGGCTAATTAATGCTGATTATAATTATCACATACGCTGTATAGTCAATTGTCACGGGATTTCATCTGCTGTCATGGAATTCGTTGTGTGACAATCTGGCCGTTGTATAGTATTGAGTTCTATTCTTCGAAGAGACGTTATACAGTGTCATTATTAAGTTGAACTTCTTCTATCTACCTCGATTTATTACTAATAAACACACAAATTAAGCAGAAAACCTTTCCTTTTTCATGCCAACTCTCAATGTCAGTTATATCTTCTAGCCTGAAAGAGACTGTGCTCATAAGCTCTTGTCTATAAACACTTGAGTGTAGGTTTAGTCAGACAAGAGCATCTTCTTTATTTCATCTTTTAGGATAAGAACGGTGTCAAACAGCTCCATGTCAATCTCTGTCGATGTGATATTGAACATAATTTCAACTACTGCAGAGTCGTTATGCTTATTGATCTCATGTTTTTTTACTATTATCATTATATATCGCATTATTCAAATCAAATTTCATTCACGACGAGTGAAAATCGAAGTACCAGTGATCCTTTCATTAAATACGCTTTGTATGCTCGTTGTGGAAAGCGCTTTGCAGATACTTGATGTGAATTGGCCAACGATACAGCGAGATTTCTATCAGTTCATTCGTGAAAATAATTCATTCTTATGTCAATTCCGCTCCTATCTATATTACTCAGCAGTCTGTGCTCTCTATTGGAGTTGTGCACTTCAAGCATTCTTTCGTTTCGTTCGTATTGTCTATCCCGAATACGTATGGATGCATCAAGCGAATATCTATTACTATGTGTTCATACCCGGTCAGATTCTGTTTGCGTTTGGCAGTGTTCTGCCTTATCTTCTGATTTTCAAAGGTATTCAACTGATACCTAATGAAAATTATTGCACAGCATTGATCAGTGAATTCAATTCATTGTTATATTTGATTTTCATTTTATTTGCTTTGCCTCTTTTGGTTATGTTTGTATGTTATATTTGTATTATTTTCAAAATACGTCGAATATCAACATCGAAGGTGTATTATCGAAAACGAAGTCGACGAGAATATTTCATTATTCAACGAATAATGATAGTGATGCTGATTCTGAGCGTGGCATCGCTTCCTTCGATTGTTGATTTGATCATTTATGCACCACGTGGTCAACTGGATGCGCATATTTATCGGATTGAATGGATTTCAGCTTCATTAAATGCACTGTTTCTCGCCCTTTGCCAACCGTTTGTGAATCCTCAATTACGAAAATTGATGAAAAATAGAAAAACAGTCATAATCAAAATATAAACCTGAATTTTGTTTTTTATTCTTGTTATCACAAAAATTATACAAAGAATCATTGCGACAAAGTTATTTCTTCGTGCATACTGCAAGTGCATTGTGCATCTACACCATTTTGTACCGTTTCACACGAATAGTTTCGTCATTAAATTCACATTGTTAGACATAGATTCAACTCATCGACTGTATTTCTTTTTCCGAAATGAACGATTGCTTAGGATCACTTTGACCGAGATCTTCTAATTTACTCTCAACAGCATTAACTTGTTCCGTTGTGTACCATTTGTGAGTAGGTAGATCTTGCAATCGTATTAATACTCGATAGGCGAAAACGAGCAGCAAGATGCCGAGAACTTCACATGCACATGTTGCAAGAAGGTAATCGTATTTCTTCGGTAACCAGTTCGATACGTAAAGAACGATGGAGGAGTTGATAGCACCACCTAGATTACTGATCGTGACAAGGAATGTCATGTAAGTACCACCAATACGTGGTTCACAGATTGAAGCAAAGAATCCGACACAAGCAGCCGATATTAAAGTCTTTATAAAGTCACTGATTGACATAAGTAGAATAAGTATTGGATAGTAATAACCCGAAGCAAGCATTTTACCAGTAAAATGAATATAAACAGCAACTGGAATGGCGATAAGAAGGTTCAGTATGTACATTTTAATCAGCCAGAGAAGAGGTCGTTTGGTACGACGAATAATCAGAGGTGCAAACACTGTGATCAGAGTGACTGGAATATTGACAAGAGCCAGACTGTCTCTCGGTACGCCATGACTGAAATAGAAATGGAAACTTCACATTACTATGCTAACAAAGCACGTACCTTATCAATGCTAAATTACTCATAGCTTGAAATGGTACAAAAGGAATTGGTAAAAGTAACATGATAATAGCTAACTGTTGAATACATTTTTTTTTCAATAATTTGAGGATGGAATGATAAACTTTCATTAAAGAAAGGTCACTGGCTTTATGGTCATCTGCGTGAACTGTTTCTTGTTTTTCACGAACAAATATCACACAAATAGTGACAAGTACGAAAATAACAGCGACGACACGTATGAATTGTGCAAGGGAGAACAAGCCTGATGTTTGTGAAGGCAGTGCAAGCGGTGCACGAATAAATTTGTTCGTAAAATTCGCTGATTCCAATGTCAACAGAAACGACGAACCAAGAAATCGACCAAATGTTTGCCCTATACCTTGACTCGTCGATGCCCATTGCGGATTAGTCGTCGCGAACAAAGTTATAGCGAACCCGTCAATACAAACATCATCAGTCGCAGTGAGAAAAACCACAATAAAGAAAATAATTGTCAGGATTACAACGTGATTCTGAACGACTAGAGATTCGATGAAAAACGAAGCGATCAACAGAACAACAGCTGTAAGTAATTGAGTTGGTACTATCCATGATTTTCGTCTTCCGAAACGTTTAATATAAAAAACGTCAACCAGCGGTGCCCAAAGTAATTTCATCGAAAATGGATAAGACGTAAAATTGAACGTTCCGCGATCTTTCCACGTTGCACCATAGTAAATTAAAAACAATGGAATACTCAACATCAGTCCAATGTTTAATCCTTCTAATGTATAGAGAATAGTAATCAGACAGATACTTGACAATGACGTGCCAGATTTGTTAACCATAGTTCGTTTTAATCTAGAAAAAAAACCCAAGGACAACGCATCGTTGTTTGAGAAGTTTTACTGAATAACAAAGCACATGGTTTGAAGTCATTCTTATCTCGTTTTCTTTCTTCCATGGATACCTGTTTACCGTATTATATATATATATATATATGTCAGCGTGTATTGAATAAAATCCTTGAGTATTTCTTATGTGAAAATGTGAATAAACTAGTGCATATTTTCAAACCAAATATTAGAACTGAGAGTCTCTATGTCAATTCAACTAATCTTGCTTTTATTCCTTTCATATCAAACTTTAAAATACGAAAGAGAAAATATAGTCTTCGTATAATCACGAATGGTTATCGTGCTCTTCCGAATAATCAGTAGTTAGTTAATTGGTTTGCAAGGAACGAGAGTATATATTTATTAAATAATTGTATGAAAAGCAAAATAGATACTGTTTTTATGATTGTAAACAGGGTGGAAGGATAATCCGTGGTTTATGAAGTTCATTTTGAATACTGACTGTTTTGGCCGCAAGAGTACCATCCATAACATTTGGATTATGAACATCGGCATATGGTGCTAAAACTGCACCGGGAATTTGTGAACCGACGGTGATCTTCTTAGCATCACAGAAGTTCCAAAGTACACTTGATTTTGCCACTTTGCCATTGAAATCATTAAAAGCGCCGAAATTTTTGTTCGTTGTATCAATATTCGTGCCCCTTATATTGATTACAAGGAATTGTAATGCAGTAGTTTTAACCGATAAATCAATACTGCTTAGTACAGCCGAACCAAACAATTCATCGTTTGCTATATTGTATATGGCTATTCCATTCTTATCAGCATTACTAACTTCAAAAACATAATTTTGATTGCTACTTTCTTTCCATCCATGATAGTTGCCAGGTGTTACTTCAGATTTGCAAAATAAATTTGATAAGCTTTGAAGATTCTCTTCAACGTGTTGACAGGCTGTATTAATACAACAATCTTCCGTTACAGTGGCGCCGATATTTTTATCCTGGATGTTAATACTTTGATCATCGACTATGTATCCGAGTGAATTGGATGGATCACGTGATATACTACGTCCATCGCAACCAACACCTAATGAGCCGTGCATTACTCGAAAACCACCATTTAGTTTTCCGTGAATTTCAATACTTGAAGGCGTTCCTTGTGGCCACTGTTGCGAAAATTCAGCGTTTCCACCAGAAAAGTAGTTGCCGCATACCAAACTGTTCAAATCAATATGTGACTTCGACGTCAGATCGCCAATAACGATTAAATTGTAATTCGGTAAAATAAAGTTGCTTGATGGTACCTTGCAATTTTCGTTGGATGTATCTAAAATACATGTTCATACACAAAAGAACACACTCTACATCAATTCCTATCAATATTTGATTGCACTCGTCACTATCGCTCTGCCCAACGGAATGTTACATACAACTCACAAGCTAGTTTCTACAATCGACCTTTCGTCTACCTTCAACATACAAAAAATATTTACAACTACCGGACTCACTCAATATGTTATCGAGATCTGGGAAGAAATCAAATATATCCCCATTATTTAACTATGAATTTTGACACACCAACATCACTCGCTATTGATTATCTTAATAATCTTCGTTTCTGTCCAAATAATGCTGACAACACGAAACTTACAAGGAGGAGAATATGAACGGCAACTGCTTGGATCAGTGACAGATGACGCAGGTGTTGTTTCTGGTGTTTTTGTGAAGATTGTTGTTCGACCTGTAGTAGCCGATGACTGATGTGATGATCCCGTTGTTGAATGAGTTGTGGAGTGGGTGGTGGAATGAGTTGTTGAGTCAGTTGTGGAGTGAGTGGTGGAATGAGTAGTTGAGTGAGTGGTGGAATGGGTGGTGGAATCAGTTGTTGAGTCAGTTGTGGAGTGAGTGGTGGAATGGGTGGTGGAATGGGTGGTGGAATCAGTTGTTGAGTGGGTTGTTGAGTGAGTGGTGGAATGGGTGGTGGAATGAGTAGTTGAGTGAGTGCTGGAATGGGTGGTGGAATGGGCCGAAGATCCCGTTGTTGAATGAGTTGTTGAGTGGGTTGTTGAGTGAGTTGTTGAGTGAGTTGTTGAGTGAGTTGTTGAGTGGGTTGTTGAGTGAGTTGTTGAGTGAGTTGTTGAGTGAGTGCTGGAATGAGGTGTTGAATGGGTGGTGGAATGAGGTGTTGAATGATGTGTTGAATGAGTGCTGGAATGAGTGCTGGAATGATGTGTTGAATGGGTGGTGGAATGAGGTGTTGAATGATGTGTTGAATGAGTGCTGGAATGAGTGCTGGAATGATGTGTTGAATGGGTGCTCGAATGAGGTGTTGAATGATGTGTTGAATGGGTGGTGGAATGAGGTGTTGAATGATGTGTTGAATGAGTGCTGGAATGATGTGTTGAATGGGTGCTCGAATGAGGTGTTGAATGATGTGTTGAATGGGTGGTGGAATGAGGTGTTGAATGATGTGTTGAATGGGTGGTGGAATGGGTAGTGGAATGAGTTGTTGAGTGAGTTGTGGAATGGGTGGTGGATCTAGTTGTTGCTGTATGATGTGTGGAATATTTTTGGGTTGTGTGTGATGGGGTTGTTGTATGAATCGTTGTGGTGCTGGTTCGTGTTCTTCTTCGAGATAAATAATCTATTAGACAAAGAACAAGAGATTCCTATCAATGAAGGCATTTTGCGTGTGAACTTAAGGTAAGAGAACTGAAGAGAAGTGAATGAAAATTAGAGATAGTCTTCAATTGCGGAGACAACTTACAATTCCTATTGTAGTATTGCTGCTCTGGATAACGAGGTCGCGAATTATAGTTTTCATATTCTTCGGAATCGTCATCGTCCAGACAGTTTTCATCAAAATCTGACTGATATTTAGTGCGGACTCCTTTATCAAAAGCATGTTTTCCATAATCATATCTCGGCATATTGCGAAGAAAACCTAGATCAGATAAACATATGTTTTTGCAGGTTACCGAAAAGAGTGCAAATGAAATACGAACGTGGATTATTACGAAGAAAATATCGAATATCGAAAGAAGGCAACATCGGTACGCCGTTGCTCAGTAAAGTTGCGTATCCGTATACTAGCAATCGAGCTACTGGAATAAGATCTCCATAGAAATTAACCAATGGAGGTATTAAATAAGCTATAATTGAGAATAACAACCAACGAACTTCATTTTCGGAAAGATCCTACCTCCAGTTGGTCCATAGATCATCGTTTGTCGGGTAAACCGTTCAACATAAATGTGCATATAAGGTGAATATTTTATCCAAGAACTCGATAATTCTAAATATGGAAATCACAATTTCGTTTTCAACCACATGGATAATTCGTACCATATCTGCGACGATCAAATCGTTTGTATGGAAAACGCATAGGCTTTTTCGCGTATTCACTTTCATCATTACACGAGTCACGAATATAGAAGTTCAAATAACCTTGATCATCTTCCGGATCCTGAATGAAAACACAATATTATACGGAACGAAACATTTGTTTATCGATATTTCCTACATCGTATGATCGACGAATTCTTGAATCATGATGCTGATCATCAGCTTCTAATAGAATGAATATAATATGTTTATTTAGAACTGAAATCAGTATCTTACCGTCGGTGTTCGCTTGATTTATATTAATTATGCAGATGAGTATCGAAATGAGAAAATAGTTTCTCATTGTTGAGAGAGAGAATATCATTGTGCGGACAAATGGACGAATCTGACATTTTATATGCTACGAAAGGGAGAAAATATTTCGGGAAGTAGGAGGGAAATCTCATCAGTTACTGATTCAATTGTTCTGAATGTTTACATGTAAAAATCTGTGATGTAAACAAATCAACAGCATTATTTTACTTGTATAAAATAAATTTCTCTCAAATGGCAGAAAAGAATGAAGAAGATATCATGATTCACTCCGTATTATTTGTTTCTACTGGAATAACTTCAGATAATGGAATATTCGTGAGCCGTTGAATTCATCATACAATCACGTACAGTATACAAAATGAAACATACCGAACGAGTTATGTATTGAGTAGGATTCACGCCTACTTGTATGATAAGATGTGTTTCGGTATTCTGTTTCTTTTTGCACATACGCACGAGTCTGTTGATTTCATGCGATTTATTTATGTAATAGTGAAGCGTTTGGAATTCTACAACAAAATATTGTTTGTTGTATTGCTCTATTCACATTGAGCATGTGAATTATTACCCCAAAAGCTGCTTTATATTCTCTTGAGGGTGTGAATGTGGAACACGTTCGTCATTTTTTGATAATGCGTCGATTTGGTCAATAAACATCAACATCATCGATTAGATCATAACAACTTATGATTTCTTCATTTCCATCATCGTATAATTGTTTGATTTCGAAAACTCTGCTGTTGCATCAGTTTTTTTTCTTGAAGCATCTTATTGTTAGTAAATCTTTTTTTAGCACTTGATGTTCCAGAGATAACTCCGAACATAACGGAAGGTAAAATTAATCTATTCTCGAGACATCTTCGGTTCATTATAGCATTTGTAGTTGTGACCAAATATACTGTTGATGAATCTGTTAGAAACCGTCCGTACTTTCATCGTAAACCCCTTCTATAAAAAGTTCTATCTTTGATCTCAGCGACTCTTTTGTATTACTACGACAATCATTAGAAGAACGGAGAATCTAAGAAAATTGCGCAAACAAGCTATTAGTTTTAAATCTCTGGTCCAATTCATTCATTTTTTTTTGGTGAAACCGCTGGCAATATCTTAGTATGCATGACTTTATTGTAAAAGCATAATTACGTATCCAAATCCAAAGAATGTTCTTTACAGAAGCAAGACAACTTTCTTTTAGTTATATTTTTGTACCTTTTGTTTATTATCTCAATCGATGGACTTATACACTGTTAGAGTTAGACAGATAGGAAAACAACATTTCAAACGATCTTCAAAGTGCACTTTTCTCTATTTATATCAGAAAAAAGATGCGATAATTGAAAGAAATGTCACTTAGGTGAAGATGAATGCCAATGAGGACTGTTTTCATCGTGATCGAGGAGAGCAGTAGAGCTATTTCGGCTTGACCTGCTTATCCACTAGAGCCATCCTTTCAACTCCGGAACAGAGATTTATTTGTAATTATTATCGTGACAATCTACTGTTTTCGAAATCTCTGGAATTTGGATAATTCAGCATTTCGAAGATAAATTCTCTTTATTTGTTCGTCAAACAAGGCGAGATATATAATGACCTAGAACGATCACTGACAAAAAGAAAAAAAGAAAACATATATATCGATCGCTCTCTCTCACCCTCGATCATTTGTTATAGAAGACAAAGACTGAATCGAACACTATAAATACCCGGATCGAATGGATCGATGATATAATCCTTTCATAGTTACATAACCGAATCAGATGGCGTCGTATCGATCTATTCTAATGATTTGTGTGATTGTCACAAGGTCAGTAGAAAGTGTTTTTTTTTCTCTATTAATTTGAACCATTTGATGAACTTTTGTTCTAGTTTACTTCATGCAATTCATGGTCGAAAGGATTTTGTCTGCCCGGAAAAAGATATTCTCGGAGGATGCAAAGATCCAAAAGAATGCATCTATGAAAATCCCAATGATTGTGGTGGATTTATTCAATGCGATGATTCCGGAAAAGTTTATTATCAAAAATGTAATGTTGGACTCAAATGGAATGATCGAATAAAAAACTGCGATATTCCACGGAAGACAACATGCCACTAATCACGTAATGATGCTAATACTGTAAAATGTATATTTATTTCATCATGTAATAAAATAAAAATATAATACCAAAAGTTATTGCAAGACGTCGAAAAAAAGTAGTGGATAATTGTTCAATAATCACGAGCAATAGAACCAATATTACAATAAAAGCATAGAAACCGATTTCTTTTCGTATCAAACCACGTGGTTGGGAATTTCTATATAAAGGCTGCGTATTCGGTGATGGTGAATATGTTTGTTGGATAGGTGATGGACTTCGTGAATAATGAAATTGTAATTGTGGAGTAGGGAAGTCGAGGTTTGAAGTTTGATTTGTTTTTTTTCGACATCTCGATCGAACGCTGCTTCGCAGGCAATCCCAACGAGTTTTGAATAAATCTGAAACGGTTTGAAGTCGTCGTTTTGAACAATGCTGATAATGTTTGGCGAAACGGCTTCGTTGAATATTTGTCTTTTTACATCGAAGACATCGAACAAGAAATTCATCGAGTTGTTTGTTGAGAGTTTCATCGATTTTTATCACTGAAATCTCGGCCGATTGACGACATACGGGACACGATTTATTACTTTCCACCCACGTTTCGATACATTTTTGACAAAATATATGTTGACAATGCAGTATGGTCGGAGATCGAAATGGTTGGATACAAATAACACATTTGAATTGATCGTCGATTGCGTCTTCGTTTAGATATTCATACTGATCCATTAACACAGTCATGCTAATAGTAAAAAAAACTTTACTATGTCAAATTGTACCACTCTATACACGATTAGTCTTTTTTATTGGCTGGCTTGATCACCTCTAGGAGGAATGCGTCTTTAATGGAGGAAAAAAATGAGTCATTGACGTTCGTGTCAGACTGACGTGTATAGAAATATCCAAAGTCACACCACAGTACATTGTCATTTCTATACATAGGACCAATCATGGATTTTTCCGAATGATCCTTAATCTAATATGGACGTGCATTCAATAAATTAGTTTATTGTTTATAAATAACTGCATTATATAGTTACATACAAAGTCAACAGTCTCTGAAGGACATAAGATAATTATGTCATTTGTTTGCTCGAAACAAAGTAAATCTTGCCTAGTTTTCTTTCTTGCTGCTCTGACATCGTTACGCGGCAATGCTAGTATTATCTTAAAAGATAAACCTTCTCGTGTTTAAATCAAACACACCTCTGATATGTCTTCAAATGAAAAGTCTTATCAGTTTCTGTATATATATTCGTGCTTTTCTCACAACTGTTTCATTGTTTCGTGTGTGTATTTTATCTCTGTGTCCTGTTGAATACTGAAAAATGCGGTCGTTGGTGTTTTTATTATTAGTTGTCGGCGCCGGTGCAATTAATGTAAAGAAATATTATCTAGATCGAATCAATTCATAGATTGGTTTTTGTTTATAGCCACTAGTTTTATTAGGAAAGGAACGAGCAGCTAACAATTCAGTTCCATGTCCAGGTTTGTTCAAACTGAAGTTCGTTCGTTTATGAATAAATGATTTTCTCTAGGTGGAAGCTCATGTCCCGATGGAAATACATGCTGCCAATTATCATCAGGACAATATGGATGTTGTCCACTTGGTATGCTTTGTTTGTCTTTTGTAATTATTTCTCTAAGAAAGCGGCCGTTTTCTTTAGCTGATGCTGTCTGCTGCAGTGATCACCTTCATTGTTGTCCCAACGGATACACATGTGATACCGAACATTCACGATGCAAAAAGAAATTCGATCGTCCAGTAAATGATGTTCCATGCCCAGGCGGTACGAAGACCGAATTTTACACGCAGCAATTCGAATTCCATTTTGTTCGATTTAGGTTCATCATCATGCCCAGATGGTTCAACATGCTGTCAATTACAATCCGGTGACTATGGATGCTGTCCATTAGGTAACTGAACTCGAGCTCTACAAGATCATCTCATATAATGTACTGTATGTTCTAGAGGATGCTGTCTGCTGTAGCGATCATCTTCATTGCTGTCCACATGGATACACCTGTGATGTTGAGCATTCACGATGCAAACAACAAATTTCAATTCCATGGTTCACGAAAACCGCGGCTCGACCACGTCAACAACGTTTGTTTCTTTGATTGAATGAAATTTTTATCTCGAAATTTCTCTTGCTTATTTAGATTTAGTTGATGTTCACGAATCATCCAATCACGATGAATCAGTTGCATTGACAAAACTCAATTAAAACTGCTCTATCTTTTTCATGAACGCTATTCATTCCTCCCAGATTTTTTTCATGAAATTAATAAAAATCTATTTACGTTCAACACGTTAGAAAAAAATGCTCATAGACGTTTTAATTAAATTTATCGTTTACATGAAAAGATAATTGGATAGATTTATTGATTAGAATCAAAAATTACTTGAAAATGAATGTTTAGGAATGTGAATCATAAATAGAATCAAAATAAAACTTCCCAACGAATTGTGACTGATACATTTGGTTCATAAGCGATGACCAACATTTTGACGATACGTTCGAATGTTGATTCATATCTGTCACTAATTCGAAGAGCATAGATATGTCCTTGTTTGACAGCAACAGTCGATAATACTTTTCCTTCTTGGAATAATTCAAATGATTCGTCCATTACTTGATAAGTGCGATTTCGATAATCCTTAAGAATAAGTAAAGTTTTGTTTTGCCGATGAATCGATGCGTATCCTTGACCATCTCCAACAGTTTCTTCATATTTGTATTTGGTTCTAAGTTCGGTGGCTGTGCCAAGGTCAATGATTGTTCCAACTCGGCCACCTTCAACACCAACAGTAAAATTGCCTTTATAGTAGGCGTTGAAATCAAGATCACTGCATCGATTGTAAACAGTCCAATCTGTTATTGATTCACCATAGAGTCCATCACGAAAACAGAATGAATGACCAATTGGATCGAGTACATAGAGAACTGAAATGCTGCCATTTCGATTCGATTGTGTCGGAGCAATATTGGTATATGGTTGGTGTTTTTCTACACGATTATGCTTGTAGGTCATACTATACAATGTACCAACTAATATCAAAGTAAGAACCGTTGTCAAAATTTGTAAAGCAATCAAAAATTTGATTGAACTTTTACGTTGAGCATGTTCGACAGCTACTGAATGTTGCATGCTGCCGTAATTGACGATCTTTTCTTGACTTGTATTCGTCATCAAAGTCATTGAGATGTTGCTTTGCTATAGGATGAAACGAAATAAAACATAGAGAATGGTGTGTTTTTATACAACATCACTTAATCAATGTGACGCATATCTTATCTAAGCATGTGTCAATATGTTTGAAAATGTTTTGTTGTAGAATTTATGACGATATTCTACTGAAACCGTTGTGAAACAACCTCCTTGACAACGGGATGATATTAAAATACATTGTAAATAGATACATTCTCTTATTGATGATGATTAGATGGATGTGTGCACACACATTGGTATTTCAGTCAAATTAACGTCCTTGTGTAGAGTGCTGCTTCATTTTATCATGATTTCATTTTATGTTGCATTTATTTTGAGAAAAAGCCTTGCGCATACCCTTTATATGCCTTTCAGATGATTAACTTTAAGAACAGCATCGGCTTTTTTTTAGTTTGTTTGTGTAATAGGAACATTTTCTATGAATATAATGGAATATTTATTTGCTTTGATTAATTCCATCAAAAACCTTCCCCTCAAAAACACCATGCCCGGAAATAGTAGTTCGTTAATAAGTTTTATTTGAAAATACCGGTTGTGGATGCGTTACACTTTGAAATGGAATTACTTGACCTGTTCTGCGCCAGAATAACACTTGATTTCGAACAGATCGACGAAATCGACTTGACGACATCAGAAACACATAACAACTTCCCTAAACAAATAAACATCCTTCATCACTCTCTCCTTCCTTTATACTTTCACTTACACAATAGTAGAAATAAGGCACAAGACTAAGCACTGTTATTGCGAATGCTTCTTGGAACAATCGATAAGCATCTTTTGGCATTCCAGTCGTCACCAGATTATACACACTGTATGTTCCATATGGAAAGAAGCTAATGATCACAAGAATGATCTGAAAGAGAACCATTCGAACCAGTTGTCGATCAGCATATTGTCTTACAAGAGCACGAGTGAGATGAATGTTGCGATAAGTGAGATATCCGAATGTCACCATTACAACGATGGGAATGGCACAAATCAAACCCAACAGATAGAAAGGAATGTAATCAGCATATCTTGCATTCATATTTCCACAGGCTTTTGTTGTAGGCGAGATATCTGAATACAAGATAGGTGGGATGCCATGAATACACCAGATAATAATGACAATGACGACGAATCGACGAGCCCATCGGATGTTACTCCAACGACGAATTCGAACATTCTGTGATGATGCGAAGTATTGATCGATGGTTGCCAAGCATGAACATGTAATTGTGATCAAACTGAGTGTGAATAGACAGAACTGTCTTGTTTTACACCAGGCGAGAGATGTTCGTGTAGGATCAATACCGAATCCGGCACTAACAATGCGTGAAATGAGATTGATGACGATGTATGCAATGTTGAAGATAGAACTAATGAGAAAATAGAACGTACAAGATGTTGTTCGATAGGACGGAACAGTTGAAAAGACGAGAATATTCATTGAGTTGCCAAGCATACCAATGAAAACGAGAGAGCAACCAGCATAGATAGTCGTTTGTTGACTGATGTATAGCAGAGACATGATGTAGCACTATCGCTGGAAGATAAACTTGCTTTTATTAAGGGCGCTGAGAAAACCTCGTTATGTTCAATGTAGAAAGTAAAAAAGATTTTTAACGATATATCATTAAAAGTGCCACGTTTGAACATTCTAAAACAAGCTTCGCTTCTTTTAATGGAATAATAGCAGTGGAATTAATTCGTAGTTTTTTTCTGATAGCACGTTTATTGCCGCCTTCAACGCGTGAAATCAGTATCTAAAAACTCAATCCGACCAGAGGTGAGTTTGACTCGATGCAAAAGTCCTCAGTAGACACAAATGGATACATGTAGTTTTCACTACTATTTTTATGATCACTTATTCATATAGAAAGTAATCGAATCATAAAGCCTGTCAATTTCAATTTACTTGTTCTGTACACTTCTTCTTGCCATTGTTAAAATAGAACTAAAACACTTGCTAGTTTTATGTTCACGTTTCTTGAGCTACATTAAATAATCGCTCGTCATATCGCTGGATCGATTTGGGTTGGATTCCACCAATATAATATCTGGTTTCGAACAGATCGACGAAAGCGACTCGATGATAGTACGAATACATAACAGCTTCCCTAAAATAAACAACAACCATCATTGCAATTTCTCTTTTTCAATTTTGCCACTTACACAATAATAAAAATAAGTTACGAGACTGATAACTGCTAGTGCATATGCTTCTTGTGATAACCGGTAACTATCTTTGGTTAATCCAGTCGTCACCAAACTATACACACTGTATATTCCATATGGAAAGAAGCTAATGATCACAAGAATGATCTGAAAGAGAACCATTCGAACCAGTTGTCGATCAGCATATTGTCTTACAAGAGCACGAGTGAGATGAATGTTGCGATAAGTGAGATATCCGAATGTCACCATTACAACGATGGGAATGGCACAAATCAAACCCAACAGATAGAAAGGAATGTAATCAGCATATCTTGCATTCATATTTCCACAGGCTTTTGTTGTAGGCGAGATATTTGAATACAAGATAGGTGGGATGCCATGAATACACCAGATAATAACGACAATTCGACGAGCCCATCGGATGTTACTCCAGCGACGAATTCTCACATTCTGTGATGATGCGAAGTATTGATCAATGGCTGCTAAACATGCGCATGTGACTGTGATCAAAAGAAGTGCATATAAGCAGAACTGTCTGAATTTACACCATGCAAGGGATGTTCGTGTAGGATCAATACCGAATCCGGCACTAACAATGCGTGAAATGAGATTGATGACGATGTATGCAATGTTGAAGATAGAACTGATAAGAAAATAGAACGTACAAGAAGTGATTCGGTAGGATGGAACAGTTCAAAAGACGGAAATATTCATTGAGTTGCCAAGGATACCAATGAAAACAAGAGAACAACCAGCATAGATGGTCGTTTGTTGACTGATATATGACAAAAGCATGGCAGGGGGTAGTATGTTGAAAGATGTTTGATGGTTTGGTAGAATACGTTTATGTTTCAAGAACAAGATTTCTCTCAGAAAAATAAATAATCTAAATTTTTGACAGTAAGTTTTTCAAAATAAAATCTTCAATATAAATACTCTAAATGATGACACATGCCACAGAAATTTTGGATTATTACAAGCCTTCAAATACAAAACAACGCCGTCCGAGATCTATATGCACAAACGAGATGACGCTGAGTGTAATGATGGTTGTGATTTACCTCAAGAATGAAACAAAAATTATATCGAAGGATATATTAGCTAGTTTTAATTTTTTATAAGGCCTAATAGAGCCAGCAAATTGAAAATACAGATGGAAAGATAAAAATATTTTAAGGACTTGGAGTATTTTTCAGTCCGAGAACTAGTAACATCACCTTATCAGTGGAGATGTTGTGTCTAGCAGTGGCGCAATCAAGATTTTTATATCAATCAGCAAATTTTACTTGTATCGAAAAAAAATGACTGGTAGATGGGAAAAAATTTTATTGACGGGGCCGAACAAAAACGTAACATGGTGTTCTTTTCTTGAGAAATATGAAACTCGGACGATTAACGTCATTTTTCAAATTTCAATGAGCTAAACATCCATGTTCATGTAAAAACGAGGAAAAACTTGATCATTAGTTATCTGTTTTGTAGTTGAAAATTAATCAAGATGAAGCTCTTTTGATGAGACCTAGTCAGTTCTTAGCCACTTTTTTCTTATACAAGAATTGCACATTAAATTCAAATGGGAGAAAAAGATCAATGAATATCTTACCGAAAGATAAATAGAAAAGTTGCAAAAACTAAATTTCTCAATAGGCGAAGGTCGAAATGAAATCGACAATTATCCATTTGGCTTCCTCCTGGTTTTGCCATTGCTGTTCGGTTTTTGTTTATATCGCACGTCGCATATTTTGCATCTGTTAGATTTTATAAAAGACTCATTTTGAAAATAGATGTTTTAATAACAATTTATGCATGTGAAAATAGTTCTTAAGAAAATGATGATGCCTTTTGTTTCTTTTTAGTTCTAATACAGTGCAATACTCGATTTCAGAGAGACTTGAATACACAAAATTCTTATTTTGTTTGTATAAAGATGAAGTTTGACTCTTCAAACATTTCTACGCAATGAAACAATGTGAAAGTAGTATAAACTTTCTGAACACATCTTCCACTTCTTATCTCGAAGATACGAGTGTGAAGAGGATGAGTCGTGAAAGAAGTGTTAATAATAAAATCTTATATTAAGATGAAGATAAAATCTCACTTTCTTTAATTAAAATTTTCTATATAAAACCTGTTCTACTTTATCCTTTTTTTCCTTTTTACATTTCAAATGGAAAATCAAAAAAATTTTCTTCTAAATATCTAGTCAAAGTGTTCTCTGGTCAATCTTTCGTATTCTTCATGTAACTCAACAAATTCTATTAAATAATCGTTCGTATTAGTTATTTTCTTTCTTATTAAATCTTCCAATATTACTTTGGCATATGGTCAACGATTGATTGACAATGAACATGTTTATTTAGTTCCTAAATTCGATATTTTCATGTAAAGAATTGAGATATTCGTATAGTTGCTCAACAGATGAAGCACCGAGTAAGACACAATGTACGCTATCATTCTTCAAACATCAGGCTACAAACGAAACCATTAGAGGGAATAAGATTGATGTGATATTTACCGATAACTAATTGGGAAACTGTACAATCGAATGTCAACGCTGGAATTACTAGTTTTCGACGTTCTTCATTCAGAACTATTTCTTTTAATAATCCGTGACCCTACAATAAACGCTGCGAGCTCTTTTTCTGAAAATGATTGTGACTTACTTTAAGTGCAGCTCTTGAATGTGAGTAAGTCATGGTGCTGATGCGTATCTTTTGAAAAGCATCGGGCAAAAGTACTTCGGCCCTTTTCCCATTGAAATGAATTGTACTACGCTTGCTCAGAAATAGGTGGAATTAAGCTGAATTATCGAGAGAGAGAAGATTTCAAACAGTGGTCAACGTTTGTTTCACTTTACCAGTATTTCCATGGGGGACTATCGTGATGTGCCCCCGTAGAAGCGAAAATTATTATCTATCAATTGAGTAAATGCAAAAACAATTTCTCCAAGGAATAGAAAAAGGAAAATAGGCGTTTTGTTCTCCGAATAAGAGAAAATCTACCTTCAATCGGTACGGAACTGTCGAGTTTGTTCGCAAGGACAGTATCGACATAATCCAGTTGTAGACGATCGAGACTAGATTTTAAACATGCGATAATATGTTTTCGTGAGAGATCTTTTTCCGTTGACGATCTAGCGAAATCCAAGATTAGGCATTTCAAAGAGAAGAAAACTTTCATTTCTTTCCACCCCAGTATAGTTTTGTTGAAACAACGTAGGTTGATCTTTTCCATTTCTTCTTCGAGATTTTGCCCAGACTTATTTCCGCTCTAACGAACTTCTCATTACCGAGTATTTTCTGTACAAACGAGTAAGTCTTACTTTCCACCAGTATCGAACAGATTAATTCCATTTTCGCAAGCGATCTCTATTAATCCTTCGACAGTATCATCGAAGATTTACCTGCTGAATGGAACCCAAGTTCAGAAACTCACCGATGATACTCATAAGCTATTCCAACCGAAATTCCTACTCAGAAATCAGGCTATATTGTTTGAGAAGACATAATTCATAAACGAAAACTAATACCATGGCATAGTTATTTCTAGTTGCTTTCTGCCTATGAATTGAGGAATCACTTAGATGAAAACAACAAGTAATATATTCTATTTCTTTCGACCCATCGTATTACTATTATCGAGAAGATATTCGCTGTGCTATGGGAAGATAAATACTGATGTTTGAGATAATTGTCGAGAAATTTATTAGTAGAAATCGTGTAAATGTTCGGAAGGGAGATTGTTCCGAACTTACTTGTAGATCATTCGGATCGATTTTGTTATTCTTGACATGCTTTGTTAGTAAACATAAATGTGCACACGCAATAGGAACAGTATTACTACTACTACAAAGCCTACCAAATAATTTCTTCTTTTCCTAGGCTTCCTTGTCTTTCTCGCTCTTTTCGTCTCTTGACATTGGCGAACGAACGCTTTGCCTATGGAACGACAACAACAAACGATAAAAAAAGACAACCTTCCTCTATTGCTTGGTCAACTCATCAATCGAATAGACTTCTATCAAAACGATGAAAGCAACGGTCAGAAATCTCCTTTAAAGCTATTATCCATTATTTGAACCATTCTTTCAATACAGTTTGTTCTCTTGAAATGAGCTCTGCTGTTCGGCATTATTTCAGACCTAGAATTTTCACCTCAGAAGCTGTCATTCATCAGGTCTAATAGTGAATCTAATGAACCTCATGGAATTGGTGGCTTTATCATTTAGATAAGAGTGAGACGGTGTTTGTCGTGCCCGATATTTTTACTATTCATGTCCTTCAAAATAAGAATACTATTGGCAATAATAGTTCTATTTGTAGGAGTAAAATGTACTTTTAAACGTTCAATTTCCTCGCCGAGAATTTCATCATTCTACACTCGCCTTCCATCTTGTTTGTTCTGCTTTTTAACTTTCCTCTCCATCAACTTCAACAAACAAGCGTGCGCATAATCAATCATAGAATGATTCGGATTTCGATCTTTTATTGACAACAATTAGAGAAAAGGACAGTATTGATCAAAGCCTTCAGGACGAACGAACGGTTGACAGACATCAAGACATTTCAATCTCTTCAGATTGAACTGTGTCGGCTTTTCAGTGAAGTTCTTGGTGATATTTGTGAGTTGATTCCACTCCACCGAGAGATTCAATAAACATGGAAGATGAGTTTTTGTTTGCAAGAGTAACATTTCAGCATAGTCAACATGTGCATCACGGAGATCGAGAAATGTTAGACAAGGAAATGCGATGGATGCACAAGAATCTTCTTTGTCTTCCATAGGCTTCGTATTTGATATTCGCAGGAACTCGAGGAACGGAAAATCGTGAGCGACAACCTCGAATAAGCGATGTTTGAAGGACACGCTGTCACGCATCTTCAATAGTCGAACTTTAGAAAACATGCCACCGGGAAAGTGATTGTCTAGATCATGGTAATATTCGAAATCATATGGAAGAGAGTATATGTGACAGTCATGGTCACACCAATTTGGTTTCTTCGTAACATATGCTGCTACTGATGGATAGTTTCTTCCATGGAAAGTGCTTTGAATAAATTCATTCCATGGAATTGCAATATCCATGCTCCGAAACCACACGGTTGTATAGATGTTAAAAGTAAACTTCCTCAGCTGCGTCATACGACCGACAAAGTCGTGCCATAAGCCATAGCCATCAATACAAAACGATTCGCGTATTAATACGGATAAAAATAACTGTAGTTCTTCCAGATTGATCATCCGACGAAGTAAAGGAACAACAAGCTTGTCATAATCAGGTGTCCTCTCGAAACTAATCAATGAAAAACATTTCAGTTTTGGAAGCGGTTTCTATACAACAGAAAATGATTTTATTTGAGGAGTGAAAATGATCGTTGGAAATTCGACTTACTCCTCCATGGATATTCCATTGTATATCAAAAATGTGTCCAACTTTGACAATATATGTCGATAAACATTCGAAGCGCCCATCAAGAAGATAAACACAATCGATGAACGTGGGGACACTGATTTTCAATTTTGTTAAACTGGAAGAAATATTACTTTCTCGTGGAATAGTGTAAACTAACGCCTCACACTGTCCCAGAGTGAACATATAACAAAAATTCAAATCCGTTAATTGTGTACAGTGAGAGATGATTAATGCGAAAATGTTTCGAACAGTATTAGAGAGACTCTCTTTCGATTTCTTCATGTCAATGTTAAGTTTTGTCACCTGTTTGAAAAGAGCACGAAGTACTACATCATCTAGAAACAAAAACATCGATTCTATCTTTTGAGAGAATCAAAGTCGAAAGACTCTACCAGTTACATATTGATAAAGCACTTCTTCTTCGAGATTGATCAATGACAGTGAATCGAGGTGAGGATAATTGACAGTTAGAAGCGACTTGATCGAAGACTGCTCGAGAGTAAGTTGATGGACATGACGATGAATTCGAGGTAAGATTTCTTCACTGAATCGCGGAAGGAACCGAGTATCAATTGAAGATTGATTGCAGAGTGATCTAATCATTCTCGTGTCAGTGAGATCAAAATCACGAACATAACGAGAATCCATTGCTAGTCGATGAAAACGTCGATCAACATTCACAAGTGAAGAGAACACATCAAGCATGGTGAGTTCTTTGAAAATGATGAGGAAGATTTCATCGGGTAGATGAAGTAGATTATTATTAGATTCGCTCATGTCTGTATGTACGGATGAATTTCTGTCATTCTTTATATACATATTTCTTTCCATTTCCTCTTCGTCGTCTACAGGAACAATGACATGTTCACATTGAACTAAAGATATACACTAGATCAATTAAGAATGAACCAATCGATATGAATATTCATCATCTTTTCTTGCTGAAGTTCAACAGCTAGCCATGTTGATAGTATACGAAATGAACACAACGAAATTTTTGTTTGATAACCGTCGTGGTTTCCTCCCACTTCGTTCTTGAGGATGAATGTGATGCATGATTATATACAAAATGGTTTCAGATCGATCACCAATGATTTTACTGCTTATGTAATACGTGACGCATATACAAACGATTCGTTCGAACGACATTAATAAATATTTTTTATATCTTTGATACTTAATGCACCACCGTAGGTGTTGACTCAGCAGTTGTTCCTCAATGAATATTGCGCCTGTGCCCGTAATGATCGTTGCTTATTCAGACGTATATCAGCACTAGAAGATGTGTGTGCTACTCCACCGCCTGAAACATTTCAAGAAAACACGAATTTCTCTTATTGGCCGACTGATTGTTCAACTGAATAGGATTAAATAGAAACGATGGAAGCAGCAATCACGAACCTTCTGCAAAGTCATTTTTAAAAGCCATTGTCATTTCGATCTATTGAACGAATGAAGATATGAGTCCTGTTGGGTTATGTGCAAGTACATGATGGCCTAAAGCTTATAAAATTTCTAGATTTTATTCTCATCTCTGGAGAGAACAAACAACTAATTATCTAAGCGAAATCACGTTTCTGTTCTTTTTTATGTCAGCTGGAACATTGAAGAAGAGCGCTGATGAGATTTTCAAACGCTAGTTGGTCAACTAACATAAATCATTATAGTGGTGAAGAGGGTTATGTTTGGCTTCGATATGATGTACCAAGAATATCGAGATTCAGCACGAACATTAGTTATCACACAATATTATTGTGATATGTCCGTGAAACATCATACTCGATCGTCGACCATTCAAGTCACGAAGGTTGAACGTTTGTCTGCTACGGAATGTCGTCTATGACATGTGAGATACTTTGATGGCTTGAAAGTCAAGTAAGTAAGAGACGATATTTATTCGATTGAGAAGGAAAATGTGTTTTTTCTCTGCGAGATTTTCTATGGTTAACTCGACGAGGTTATCACAACCACAAAGTGGTCTGACTGAGGTATAAAATGTTGGGAAGACCGTCCATCGCCATGGACTCTGTTCATTAACGAAAACGGACGTGATCAAAATATTCTCGAGGTATGATGTTTCGATTCTTCTCTCTCTATTTCAAGCTAGATAAATGTATTCGTTTTCGAGGCATAGACATCAGAGGAAAACAAAGAAAAGTAATCACATCTAGAAGAAAATACATTAAAAGAACGGAGAGATATGTTAATAGCTTTGCAGGCCACAGTATAAATAGTTTCTTTCTCTTTTCATCTAGATATACCCAAAATGTCGATCGAAGCGTTTCTTCGTACGCTTACTATTACCGATATTAGCGTAAGAAAATTCAAAATACCTCGATAGCTTAACTTGTTCATTTCTGTAGACACATAGCTTAAAAGATGCCGAAAATCTATTGGAGCAAAGAGCCAAATCGTATCAAACAATGATTCAGAATGAAAATATTGACACACAAACAAAAGACACATCGAAATTCTATCTCGAACAAGCCAAATTCGAGACTGAAATTATCGACACGTTGAAAAAATTCATGGTTCTTCGTGGAACATGATTTTTTCGCTTCATTGATCGTAAGAAAGCGATCCAAGTTTTACAACACATTGTTCACATACATATTTCTAGAAAACACAAGCGGTCAACAAATATATCCATGATTGCATTGTTGTTTATTTTCACAAAAGAATAAAAGAAAACTATCTGAAATACATCTTCTGCTTCTTGTACATGATTTAAATATCCACTCTAGCCGATGAACGTTCAAGAATACCAGCGAAAGATTCGAGCAATGTTCAGGAATGCATTCAATTGTTTGTAAGCAAAGAAGATTTGGATGGAAATGAAAAGCCGGCAGGAGAAGAGTATGCATGCTGATCATCCGACGAAATTGTTCTTTTATCTGTGTACAAAGTATAAACAGAAACAATGATGTACGAACAAGTTCTTGATTCAGAAAGTATTCGGACGTTCTCGTACTTCGTCGAAAACGTTTTTCACAAACTCGCAGTCAAACGAAATTGAATACTCGTGTGGACTTGACAATCAACGATCTCAATCTTAATGATCTAATCGATGTGGCGTCCGAAAGTTATGAAGGTAATCTGCCTTTTAAGAGAAGTGATTGAATAGTCTTACGTATGTTTAGGGTCTGTCGCGAGTTTCAATCTATTTGGTGTATCGAATCGTAGTGACATGGCTTACTCAGATCATTCTATCACCCAAGGCAAGCATCCATGTACTAATCAATGGCATGAATTCAATGATTCATCAGTTTATTCTTTGAATAACAAATCTCGTCACGTGCCTGTGCTATTTTTTGAGCGCAATAAATAATTAAATGATTCATTTTAGAAAGGGATTTTTTCAATCGAACGAATTCTTCTTATGTATGTCGATGTTTATTTATTTCTATTTCTGTTTCTCGTATGCATTGAGATGTGTTCGCGGATTATTTTCTTCTGTCAAATCCTTCGAATTGTAGTCATAATAAAAGAAGAACGAAATCTGTTATTAAACGACGGAGTTCACCTAGTTTCGACAGAAACGACTGCCTGTTGAAAAGACGAGAATATTTATTGAATTGCCAAGGATATCAATGAAAGCGAGAGAGCAACCAGTATAGATAGTCGTTTGTTGACTGACATATGAAAAAAGCATGGTAGAGACAGAATGATGTTTGATGGTTTAGTAGAATACTTTTATGTTTCTAGAACAAGATGTTTCTCAGAAAAATAAACGTTCTAAATTTTTGACAGTAAGTTCATCAAAATAGAATCTTCAATATAAAGACTCTAAATGATGACACATGTCATGGAAATTTTGGATTATTACAAGCCGTCGAATACAAAACAATGTTCTCCGAGATTTATATGCACAAACGAGACAACGCTGAGTGTAATGATGGTTATGATTCACGTCAAGGATGGAACAAGAATAAAATTATATCGAAGGATATAGATTCGCTAATTTTAGTTTTTATAAGATCTAACAGAATCAGCAGATTAAAAATACAGATAGAAAGATAAAAATATTTTACGGGCTTGAAGTATTTTTTAGTGGAAGAATTTGTATCTAGGAAGCGAAGCCTACTTTATGAGTTGAGATGTTGTGTCTAGCAGCGGCGTCATCAGGGTTTTTGCGTCAATCAGCAAGTTTTGCCTGTATCGAAAAACACTGACTGGTAAAATGGAAAAGAATTTTATTGACGGGGCCGAACAAAAACGTAACATGGTGTTCTTTTCATGAGAAATATGAAACTCGGATGATTAGCGTCATTTTTCAAATTTCAATGAGCTAAACATCCATGTTCATGTAAAAAACGAGGAAAAAACCTGATTATTCGTTATCTGTTTTGTAGTTGAAAATCAATCAAGATGAAGCTCTTTTGATGAGACCTAGTCAGTTCTTAGCCACTTTTTTCTTATACAAGAATTGCACATTAAATTCAAATGGGAGAAAAAGATCAATGAATATCTTACCGAAAGATAAATAAAAAATTTCCAAAAACTAAAATTCTCAATAGGCGAAGGTCGAAATGAAATCGACAATTATCCATTTGGCTTCCTCCTGGTTTTGCCATTGCTGTTCGGCTTTTGTTTATATCGCACGACGCATATTTTGAAAATAGTTCTTAAGAAAATGCAGATACCTTTTGTTTCTTTTTAGTTCTAAAATATTTCATTACTTGACTTTACAGAGACTTGAATACACAAAATCCTCATTTTGTTTGTATAACATGAAATTTGCCTCTTCAAACGATTATACGCAATGAAACAATCTGAAAGTAGTATAGACTTTCTGGACACATCTTTCAGTTCTTATCTTGAAGATGCGAGTGTGAAGAGGATGAGTCGTAAAAGAAATATTAATAGCAAAACATTATATTAAGATGAAGGTAAAAGCCTACTTTCGATAATTAAAATTTTCTATATAAAAACTGTTCTACTTTACCTCAAAGAGGATCAGTGATAGAAAATATAACTTTATCCTTCTTGTTCTTTTTTACATTTCAAATGGAAAATCAAACAAATTTTCTTCTAAATCTAATTTCTCTAATAATCAATTTCATTGGTACAATCATAACAACGATTATTTTAATCTTCATTTTACTTCGACGAAAAACTTTCTTTGATGTTCAATTACTTCTTTGTACAAATAATTATTTTGTTTTATTCATTCTTGGTATACTAACGTTTTCAATTAATATTCGAGTTCTTCAAGGCGATTTAAAAGAATTCAGTGACGAACAAGAAACATTAATATGTCGAATTCATTCTTATATATTTTATGCATTTATTTCAGCTATTTATCAATCATTTGTTTTACAAGTAATCAATTTCTTTTTTCTCCTAAATATTTAATCAAAGTTTTATTTAGTCAATCTTTCGTCTCTTTCGTATTCTTCATGTAACACAACAAATTCTATTAAATGTTCGTTCGTATTGGTTAATGATTCCATTAGTTTGGCTATTTTCTTTCTTATTAAATCTTCCAATATTACTTTGGCATGGCCAACGATTGATTGATAGTGAGCATGTTTGTTTAGTTCCTAAAGATGATTCTCGAACAATTGCATATTCAATTTTGACAATTTATGGCATTCCTTTTCTTTCCATTTCATTTATTTATTTTCGTGTAACTCAATTTTTACATAAACAAAGTTTAAATCGAAATCTTCCACAAATTCAACGGTCTCAACAACGAGACATTGTGGTTTTTCGTCGTATCATTCTTATTCTTATCCTATTAGGTATTTATGGTATCCCAACAAGTATTATGTTAATCATTCTTGCCTTTACCAATGAACTTGCCTTTTGTTTTTATCGCGTTCTTGTATTAAGTATATCCATATGTGTTTTAACATTAAGCTTAGCATTAATTTATATAACACCACAAATTAATCATCAAATTCAAGTTTATTGTCGAAAGACACGAGTTTATCCAATAGTTACCCTTCAACAGAACACTAATCTTTGAAATTCCTCATTTTACAAATTTATAATCGAGTCGGATCAAAATATTCTCACAATTCCTGTCGAACATAATGTTACGGCAGTATTTGTATGTAATACATTATTCGAGCGCGTAAAACAAAAGATGAAATGTGATGGTTATAGTTGGTATTGGAATTCTTAGTGGGCCACCAAATATAATCCTATCATTATTCATATGATTTTTTTTCCCATTCTTATCATCGCCGTCTTTTGAAGGAGGTTTTTCTATGACTTTTCAAACGATTTCTTGTATAAATCCGATGGTAAGACAAAAATAACAAAGATAAGCGCTGACGGCGTGAACGAAATGAAATAACTGAAGAGAAGTAACCATTTATATCGATTAGTATTGACACATTCAGATGATAATAAGATAATAACATGAGGTAATGATAGGAATGGTAAAATAATGGGACCAATTAATAATTGTTTATGTTCATGAAGTTGTTTATAAATATGAGTTCGACAAGTGTTATTTTCTCGAATTTTTGACCGTTGTCGAGTAGATCCACATATAATAAATAATGCAGAACAAAGATTCGCAAGAAATGGACCAATCAGATGAATGAATAAAACAATTGTATCAGAATATTGAAGCGAAGACGAATATCGAGTTCTACACCAAGTACTAACGTCCATTTTCTTCAATTTTTTTGAATAATTGAACCCATAACACAAAATGATAAGATGAAAATAATCCTAGGAGCAATCCATTTGCTCTTTTCTTTATTGAAAATAACTCCTTCGTAAACAAGAAATCATTCTTTCGATCGCAACACAAGCATTAAACCAACCATTCGAATGTAGGCATAACTTCAGAAGTGTCTCAATAGATTTACAACCTCCTCCTTCAAGAATCGACAATGGAATGGATAAATCTATTTGAGTAACAATAAAAAACCAGAATTTCTTTGTAAACGTTCCAATTGTAAGCAAGAAAGTACTGGATGATGCAAAGAAGATATATTCCACAACCAACTTGTCGTGAATCTTTATTTTTAAATATTAAAAGAGAAAAGATACTATTAATCAAACCTCCACTAAATATAAACATTGTTGTCGCTGTAGTTATTTTGATTGAAATCGTTGGACTTGTCATCGTTATTTAATAGATTTTCGAAGGACTTGGTCGGCATAAAAATCATTTTAATAAATAAAACCTCTCGGATGAAGGTCACGAACGTCTTTACTTTCAAAACTGTAATATGCACTTCCAGATATATCTATTTGTATTGCTTGATAATAATAGTCTGGTTTTTCGCATTGTGGAGAATGCATTTGACTGAAGGGAGTTGGTGTTGATGAAAATTTCACTGTGACATTTGAGTTAACGGAATCAACGACGGATAAACTATTTGGAAAATTGTCGACAAATATTATTGAAAGTTTTTTTTCCTAGCAAATAGATACTCACTTGTTTTTTCTTAGATCAACAGTATTTGGGCCAGATAAAAATACGGAAAATGTTTCTTTTTCATATCGATTTATCATTGTTACATCCAAGATGTATGTAGTACTGGTCTCAAGAAAAGGTCGTAGTCGAAAATTGAAAGACTCACGCATTCTCTTATCCTCTAGCAGTAAATTCATGTCCGAAGAAAACGGTTTGAAATACTTTTTACAGATATAATCAACTAATAGAATATTACTATGGCTTAGAAAAGTATATAAACCATCTGTAGAGGCTTTGACTTATATAGCTACATAGTAATATGTTGAATCTATACAATTTCGAGGATATAAATTGCACTGTCGATCGTTAATGTTAACGTGTATATCTATTGAATAGTTGATGGCATATCTACTGAACAAAAATAGACATAATCGAAGTTTGTATTGTGTAAACAATAGACGTACTGATACGCTTGAAATTAATATCACCTGGACCGCTTGTTAGAATTGAAAAATATCTTGTTATACTCAAAGAAGATGTTGCTACGATCAGTATGTATGAGGTATTGACTTGAAGAGAAGTGCTGAGTATTATTCGAACATGTTTATCATTGTCAACATCTTGTAAAGAACATTCTCAAGAGGATTGAATGGATTCAGTTTGACTTTGTAAATGTATCCAAATATGTTCCGTAAATTGCTTTCGATTGAAAAGGAGTAAACGCCAGAAATAAATAAATTCATTTGAATTATTTCGTAATAAGAATTTATTTTTGAACAATCTGTGAAAAAAGTTGAACTATTCTGTGTAATCGCTGTTGGATACATTGACTCTGTCAATGATGAATTTTCTACAAAATCGCACAATAAATAGAACAATTTCAATTCAAATTCTTCTCTGATATTTACTGCAAGAGCTATCGATGAATAGAAATTTTTGAATGCATGTGTTCACTAGATCAGTTACAAACATGTTTTCGAAGCTATCGAAACTCAAAATTATTGCACCAAACAGTTGATTTGATTGTGACCTAGGTTATAACACGCAATTGTAAATCCAAAACTAGTTGGTTCTTCTCCTACAATACGACGACTATTATTATCTGCAATGAATAAATATCTATTGATGTCGAGTACAATTTCCGATGGACAAAGAAGAGTAATTGGTGGATATAATGATGTGTCTCCTGCTTTTGTTTGTCCATTTGATTGATTTAATTGAAAGAGTTGAACGCGATTGTTTTCACAATCTGCCACATATAAATCAAAGTTTATGTCAACAAAAATTCCCATGGGATAACCAAGTTGATTCAGATCAGATCCTTCGATACCTGTTCCAGCAACAATTTCCGTTTCCATTGAAATCACATTCAGTTTTCTTTTTACAACTTGACTTTTTCTAGTTAACAAACATTACAAAGTATTATTGATATCAGCAAAAATACCAAAACATGGTAGACTCACATTCATAATAATAGTTCGTTGATTTGTATTTTAATTCAACTTATAAACTTGATGAGGTTGGGAAAACTTTTCAAAGAAAATATTTTCGTTTTCTGTAACGAAAATAAAGTATCCCATCGAATATATTTTAGTATCTATTGTTGATGGATGAATACGATTGTTGAACCATACAGACAGATACGACAATAGAGGATGAAATATATAAATTGTATTGCCTATATTAATAAATATTTATGAGGCCTAGAGCCAACAGTAGTATTATCAGCAAATGTAATTTCATTTTGATCGCAAATTTTTGCTGAACAAAATTTTGGTTGATTACACCAAAGACCTACGATGTGAATGAATTTTGAGTGTATCATATGATACTATTCGTTATTGATCTTTAAAAAAGTTTGTATTTTCTCCTACATGAAATACAGTAATAGAAACGGAATCTGAATCTGTCTAATTTTGGAGTAATGTTTTCTTCTTAGTATTAAACCATCAGTAAAATTCGTTTTGAAACTTGAATGAATAAATACCTGATACATTATTGATCAAAATGAGAAGAATTAGAATGAAATTAATTTTTATCAACATGCTGAAGGGCAGATACTTCTTTCTCATCAGAATAATTGATTACAATCAAAAGATATTGTTTCTTTCTTTGACATGGATTTTTTTGTAATGTAAAGCTATCGGGGGAACAGTTATAACTTATATAAAAACATGCTAAAGAGAAATCATAAAACTCACGTTGATGATTCTGCGTATTCTAAATGAAAATAAAATTTCAAATTTTCTTTCGTCGATAAATAATCTCTTTGTCACGAATTGATTTAGATCACGTTCTCTTATTATTGAAGAAAGCGATTTTATTCGGGATTAAAACATTTGAATAAATGAAAAAAATATGTATTTGTGGTTTATCAATAAAGTTTAACGTTGAATTGCTTCTCGATCGTAGTACGCTTATAGTGATTACATGGTTTTTGTTTTATTGTTATTAGTTTCTATGGATAAGTTTGAGAGCTTCCTTCTCGCAAAAATCGATCACTTGACCTAGTATAACGCACGTCGATGCGAAAGACACACCAGCACCTACAAAACTACCGATTGCAACACCAACAACAGGCACAGCTTTGACAGATTCTTCGCCTGCACTAATACCTAGCATTGTTCCCAAGATTGCACTAGCACGAACTCCCAGGCTTGCGTACAAAGCTTGGATTAGATTTGTTAATTTTTCTTTGGCAGTACCTGGTCCCATGAAATTGATTGGATTGAGTCCAAATAGAAAAAAGTAGTCCGTTGCTTTGGTGACAATAATAGCAATATCACATGAAATAGAAACACCTGGTATAGGCACAGCGCCAATTACTCCCGAGAGCGTTGCCCATCCCCATTTCTGCTTTCGAAGCGAATTAGCTGCGGTACGGATAGCACTTTCGCAAACAGCACCAGTTGCTAATACAAACGCTCTCCCCTTCTCAGCACCCAATCCATCTTCCGATATCATGTCACTTTGTATCGCTTCCCATAATCGATCAAATTCATAATCTGGAGATTGGTCATATTCGTAAATTGTTTTTCCGTCGGATTCACTTTCGATGAACTGATTGGACACAAGAAAGATTTTGTGAACATTGTCAGCAGCAAGTTGCGTTTGAAGTTGCTCACGAATCTTGGCCTTGACGGCATCAAAACCTGCACGCTTTTCTAGCAATTTATTTCCGCCTTCCAAACGTAACAAATCTATTTTTGTTTGTACGAAAACGAATTTTTTCTTCAATTCATCAGTGATGTATTTAGCCAGACGCTTGTCTTGTTCAGTAAATTTATTGTGCGAGAGAAGAACGAAATAATCCACCGTATGAAGCCTGTAGAGTTTGCAATAGTTAATTTGTTCTTTGGGAGTTGTGAAAGCACATGAGCTAGTAGTACTACCAACGCCAGGTAAATCCACATATACAACTGAAGTACCAGATTTGCGATATTCTCTGCCTTCTTTTGTACATTCACTAACACATTCGCCAATCTTTGGCTCACCTTCGTCGTCGGGTGACATGCCCATAAAACGGCGAATAAGTGTTGATTTACCACAGCCCGCTTCACCAATCAAAGCAATCAGCACCGGTTGATTTTTGTATTCATTCTCGATGTCTTTTTGCTTTTGTATCAAAGCCTGTATTCCGCCGTTTCTCAAAAGAGTTCGCCAATCATTTTCAGTGAGCTGAATGTTTTGCTATTAAGACAAACTATATTATTTCCTAAAAGGCAAAAATATTAATCCTACTCGTTGCTGTTGATAATCACTCATGATCGTTGTAAATGAATAAGAATTCAACGTATTTGCGTTCAACTATGAACTATATATATGAGCGTAGTTGGAAGATTCCAAGCTAATGTTTAAAGAACAATGCGCTTTATTTCCAGAAAACAAATAAATAAAAAAGCTTTTAAGCGAGACGGAAGTCCCATGCTTTCGCGTTTGGCGTCCCACTCCTCCTCTTTTTTCCTTTTCTCTCTTATTTAGTTTTCTCTATTTTCTTGTCTACATTATTACTTCGCATTTTTTATAAACTTATATTCAGTGATGTTTAAGTTTTTTGCAAAAGGAAAGGAAAAAATACTGCAAGAAAATGTATTTCCTGAAAAAAAGAGAAAGCGGGAAGCCAGTTTTAAGTTGAAAAAACGGGAATATGCAAACAGAATTTACTCAGGGAAAAATATTGACTTCTATTTAAACGAGCAATAAAAATACTTAAATGAGCAATAAAAATACTTAAATGAGCAATAACCAAATTCCGGCAATAAAAATACTGACTGAGCAATATTAATACTGAATGAGAGATAATAATACTGAATAAGCAATAATAATACTTAATGACCAATCATTTATCTAAACTGGCAATAAACCATGTGTGTAGGGAGCAATAAAAATCCAGGTGCTACAATGTCCTTCATCTATGTTNTTTTTTCTTCGACATCTCGATCGAACGCTGCTTCGCAGGCCATCCCAACGAGTTTTGAATAAATCTGAAACAGTTTGAAGTCGTCGTTTTGAACAATGCTGATAATGTTTGGCGAAACGGCTTCGTTGAATATTTGTCTTTTTACATCGAAGACATCGAACAAGAAATTCATCGAGTTGTTTGTTGAGAGTTTCATTGATTTTTATCACCGAAATCTCGGCCGGTTGACGACATACCGGACACGATTTATTACTTTCCACCCACGTTTCGATACATTTTTGACAAAATGTATGTTGGCAATGCAGTATGATCGGAGATCGAAATGGCTGGATACAAATAACACATTTAAATTGATCGTCAATTGCATCTTCATTCAGATATTCATACTGATCCGTTAACACAGTCATGTTAATAGTTAAAAAAGCTTTCCTATGTCAAATTGTACTACATTGTATACACAATTAGTCTTTTTTTATTGGCTGACTTGATCACCTCTAGGAAGAATACGTCTTTAATGGAGGAAAAAATGAATCATCGATGTTCGTGTCAGACTGACGTGTAAGGAAATATCCAAAATCACACCACAGTGCAGTGTCATTTCTATACATATGAGCAATCATGGATTTTTCCGAATGATCCTTAATCTATAATATGGACGTGCATTCAATTGTGTATAAATAACTGCATTATATAGTTACATACAAAGCCAACAGTCTCTGAAGGACGTAAAGATAATTGTGTCATTTGTTTGCTCGAGAAAAAGTAAATCTTGCCTGGTTTTCTTTCTCGCTGCTCTGACATCGTTACGCAGCAATGCAAGTATTATCTTAAAAGATAAACCTTCTCGTGTTTAAAACCAAACACACCTATGATATGCCTTCGAATGAAAAGTCTTATCAGTTTCTGTATATATATTCGTGTCTTTCTCACAACTGTTTCATTGTTTCGTGTGTGTATTTTATCTCTGTCCTATTGAATACTGAAAAATGCGGTCGTTGGTGTTTTTGTTATTAGTTGTCGGCGCCGGTGCAATTAATGTAAAGAAATATCGTCTAGATCGAATCAATTCATAGATTAGTTTTTGTTTAGCCACTAGTTTTATTAGGAAAGGAACGAGCAGCTAACAATTCAGTTCCATGTCCAGGTTTGTTCAAACTGGAGTTCGTTCGTTTATGAATAAATAATTTTCTCTAGATGGAAGCTCATGTCCCGATGGAAATACGTGTTGCCAGTTATCATCAGGACAATATGGATGTTGTCCACTTGGTATGCGTTGTTTGTCTTTTGTAATCACTTCTCCAAAAAACCGATCGTTTTCTTTAGCTGATGCTGTCTGCTGCAGTGATCACCTTCATTGCTGTCCCAGCGGATACACATGTGATACCGAACATTCACGATGCAAAAAGAAATTCGATCGTCCAGTAAATGATGTTCCATGTCCAGGCGGTACGAAGATCGAGTTTTACATGCAGCAATTCGAATTCCATTTTGTTCGATTTAGGTTCATCATCATGCCCAGATGGTTCAACTTGCTGTAAATTACAATCCGGTGACTATGGATGCTGTCCATTAGGTAACTGAACTTGCGGACCCTAGAAGATCATCTCACACAATGTACTGTATGTTTTAGACGATGCTGTCTGCTGTAGCGATCATCTTCATTGCTGTCCACATGGATATACCTGTGATGTTGAGCATTCACGATGCAAACAACAAATTTCAATTCCATGGTTCACAAAAACAGCGGCTCGACCACGTCAACAACGTTTGTTTCTTTGATTGAATGAAATTTTTTTCTCGAAATTTCTCTTGCGTATTTAGATTTAGTTGATGTTCACGAATCATCCAATCACGATGAATCAGTTGCATTGACAAAACTCAATTAAAATCGCTCCATCTTTTTCATGAACGCTATTCATTCCTCCGAGATTCTTTTCATAAAACTAATAAAAATCCATTTACGTTCAACACGTTAGAAAACAATGCTCATGTATGTGAAAAGACAATCCGATAGATTTATTGATTTGAATCAAAAATTACTTGAAAATGATTGTTTAGGAATGTGAATCATAAATAGAATCAAAATAAAACTTCCCAACGAATTGTGACTGATACATTTGGTTCATACGCGATGACTAACATTTTGACGATACGTTCGAATGTTAGATCATAACTGTCACTAATTCGAAGAGCATAGATATGTCCTTGTTTGACAGCAGCAGTCGATAATACTTTTCCTTCTTGGAATAATGCAGGTGATTCGTCCATTATTTGATAAGTACGATTTCGATAATCCTTAAGAATAAGTAAAGTTTTGTTTTGCCGATGAATCGATGCGTATCCTTGACCATTTCCAACAGTCTCTTCATATTTGTATTTGACTCTAAGTTCGGTGGCTGTGCCAAGGTCAATGATTGTTGCAACTCGGCCACCTTCAACACCAACAGTAAAATTACCTTTATAATAGGTATTGAAATCAAGATCGCTGCATCGATTGTAAACAGTCCAATCTGTTATTGTTTCACCGTAGAGTCCATCACGAAAACAGAATGAATGACCAATTGGATCGAGTACATAGAGAACTGAAATGCTGCCATTTCTCTTCGACTGTGTCGGAACAATATTGGTGTATGGTTGGTGTTTTTCTTCACGAGTAGGATGCTTGTAGGTCATACTATACAATGTACCAACCAATATCAAAGTGAGAACCGTTGTCAAAATTTGTAAAGCAATCAAAAATTTGATTGAATTTTTACGTTGAGCATGCTCGATAGCCACTGGATGTTGCATGCTTCCGTAATTGACGATCTTTTCTTGACTTGTATTCGTCATCAAAGTCATTGAAATGTTGCTTTGCTATAGGATGAAACGAAATAAAACATAGAGAATGGTGTGTTTTTATACAACACCACTTAATCAATGTGACGCATATCTTATCTAAGCATGTGTCAATATGTTTGAAAATGTTTTGTTGTAGAATTTATGACGATATTCTACTGAAACCGTCGTGAAACAACCTCCTTGACAACGAGATTATATTAAAATACATTGTAAATAGCTACATTATCTTATTGATGATGGTTAGATGGATGCGTGCATACGCGTAGGTATGTCAGTCAAATTAACGCCCTTGTGTAGAGCGCTGCTTCATTTTTTCATGATTTCATTTAATGCTATTTTTATTTTGAGAAAAAGTTCGCGCATATTCTTTATATGCCTTTCAGGTGATTAACTTTGAAGTTTAAGAACAGCATTGGCCTATTTTTAGTCTGATTGTGTAGCTAGAACATTTTCTATGAATATAATGGAATATTTCTTTGCTTTGATTAATATTCCATCGAAAATACCATGTCTGGAAATAGTAGTTCGTCAATAAGTTTTATTTGAAAATGCCCGTTGTGCATGCGTTACACTTTGAAATGGAATTACTTGACCTGCTCTGCGCCAGAACAACACTTGATTTCGAACAGATCGACGAAATCGACTTGACGACATCAGAAACGCATAACAACTTCCCTAAACAAATAAACATCCTTCATCACTCTCTCCTTCCTTTACGCTTTCACTTACACAATAGTAGAAATAAGGCACAAGACTAAGCACTGTTATCGCAAATGCTTCTTGCAACAATCGATAAGTATCTTTTGCCATTCCGGTCGTCACCAAACTATACACACTGTATGTTCCATATGGAACGAAGCTAATGATGACAAGAATGATCTGAAAGAGAACCATTCGAACCAGTTGTCGATCAGCATATTGTCTTGCAAGAGTGCGAGTGAGATGAATGTTGCGATAGGTGAGATATCCGAATGTCACCATTACAACGATGGGAATGGCACAAATCAAACCCAACAGATAGAAAGGAATGTAGTCAGCATATCTCGCATTCATATTTCCACAGGCTTTTGTTGTAGGCGAGATATCGGAATACAAAGCAGGTGGGATGCCATGAATACACCAGATAATAATGATAATGACGACGATTCGACGAGCCCATCGAATGTTACTCCAACGACGGATTCGAACATTCTGTGATGATGCGAAATATTGATCGATGGTTGCCAAACATGAACATGTGATTGTGACCAAACTGAGTGTGAATAGACAGAACTGTCTTGTTTTACACCATGCGAGAGATGTTCGTGTAGGATCAATTCCGAATCCGGCACTAACGATGCGTGAAATGAGATTGATGACGATGTATGCAATGTTGAAGATGGAACTGATGAGAAAATAGAACGTACAAGATGTTGTTCGATAGGATGGAACAGTTGAAAAGACGAGAATATTCATTGAGTTGCCAAGAATACCAATGAAAGCGAGAGAACAACCAGCATAGATAGTCGTTTGTTGACTGACGTACAGCAGAGACATGATGTAGCACTATCGCTGGAAGATAAACTTGCTTTTATTAAGGGCGTCGAGAAAACCTCGTTATGTTCAATGTAGAAGGTAAAAAGATTTTTAACGATATATCATTAAAAGTGCCATGTTTGAACATTTTAAAGCAATCTTTGCTTCTTTGAATGGAACAGTAGCAGTGGAATTAATTCGTAGTTTTTTTCTGATAGCACGTCTATTGCCGCCTTCAACGCGTAAAATCAGTCTCTAAAAACTCAATCTAGCAAAAGTTTATTTTGACTCGATGCAAAAGTTTTCAATAGACATAAATAGATGCATGTAGTTTTCACTACTATAATTTTATGATCACTTATTCACATAGAAAGTAATCGAATCATAAAGCCTGTCAGTTTAAGAACGGAATATATTCCAATGGGAAATCTCAATTTATTTGTTCTGTACACTTCTTATTGATTAAACCACTCAACCGTTATCATCGGTCCGGTTGTGAACTGTGCTTCATCTGATTTTATTTAAACTATCTACTCATGATAATGATAGCATCTTGCCATCGGTAAAGCAGAACTAAAACACTTGCTAGCTCTAAGCGGTTCTAACAGCCGCTATGTTCACGTCTCTTGAGCTACGTTAAATAATTGCTTGTCATATCGCTGGATCGATTTGGATTGGATTCCACCAGTATAATATCCGGTTTCGAACAGATCGACGAAATCGACTCGATGACAGTACGAATACATAGCAGTTTCCCTAAAATAAACAACAACCATCATTGCAACTTCTCTTTTTCAATTTTGCCGCTTACACAATAATAAAAATAAGTTACGAGACTGATAACCGCTAATGCATATGCTTCTTGTGATAACCGGTAAGCATCTTTGGTTAACCCAGTAGAGATCAAACTATACATACTATATGTTCCATATGGAACGAAACTAATGATCACAAGAATGATCTGAAAGAGAACCATTCGAACCAGTTGTCGATCAGCGTATTGTCTTGCAAGAGCACGAGTGAGACGAATGTTGCGATAAGTGAGATATCCGAATGTAACCATTACAACTGTGGGAATGATGCAGTTCAGTCCTATAACATGGAACGGAAAATAGACAGTGTATCCTGCATTAGTAACTGCACAGGCTTTTGTAGTAGATGAGATGTCGGAATACAAGGTAGGTGGGATGCCATAAATACACCAGATAATAATGACAATGACGACGATTCGACGAGCCCATCGAATGTTACTCAAACGACGGATTCGAACATTCTGTGATGATGCGAAGTATTGATCGATGGTTGCTAAGCATGCGCACGTGACTGTGATCAAAAGAAGTACATACAAGCAGAATTGTCTGAATTTGCACCATGCGAGAGATGTTCGTGTAGGATCGATGGCATATCCTACACTGAGAATGCGTGAAATGAGATTGATGACGATGTATGCAATGTTGAAGATAGAACTGATGAGAAAATAGAACGTACAAGAAGTGATTCGATAGGACGGAACAGTTGAAAAAACGAGAATATTCATTGAATTGCCTAGAATACCAATGAAAGCGAGAAAGCAACCAACATAGATAGTCGTTTGTTGGCTGATATATGACAAAAGCATGGTAGAGACAGAATGATGTTTGATGGTTTAGTAGAATGCTTTTATGTTTCTAGAACAAGATGGTTCTCAGAAAAATAAACGTTCTAAATTTTTGACAGTAAGTTCATCAAAATAGAATCTTCAATATAAAGACTCTAAATGATGACACATGTCACGGAAATTTTGGATTATTACAAGCCGTCGAATACAAAACAATGTTCTCCGAGATTTATATGCACAAACGAGACAACGCTGAATGCAATGGTGGTTTTGATCTATCTTAAGGATGAAACAAGAATAAAATTATATCGAAGGATATAGATTCGGTAATTTTAGTTTTTATAAGATCTAACAGAATCAGCAGATTAAAAATACAGATGGAAAGATAAAAATATTTTACGTGCTTGAAGTATTTTTCACTCAGAGAACTTGTAACAGCAAACTATATGATTCCTTATTCTGTTTTGGAAGAAACTCATAGAATGTCACTCATCTATGAAGCGAAGCCCATCTTATCAGCTGGGATGTTGTCCCTAGTAGTGGCATAATCAAGATTTTTATATCAATCAGCAACTTTTGCTTGTATCGAAAAAAACATCCTCAAGATGAGACTATTTTAATGAGATTTAGTCAGTTCTTAGGTACTCTTGAGAAAATGCAGATACCTTTTGTTTCTTTTCAGTTCTAATATATTTCAATACTTGATTTTACAGAAACTTGAATACACAAAATCCTTATTTTGTTTGTATAAACATGAAGTTTGCCTCTTCAAACATTTCTACCCAATGAAACAATCTGAAAGTAGTATGAACTTTCTGAACACATCTTTCAGTTCTTATCTTGAAGATGCGAGTGTGAAGAGGATGAGTCGTAAAAGAAATATTAATAACAAAACATTATATTAAGATGAAGGTAAAAGCCTACTTTCGATAATTAAAATTTTCTATATAAAAACTGTTCTACTTTATCTCAAAGAGGATCAGTGACAGAAAACATAACTTTATCCTTCTTTTTTTTACATTTCAAACGGAGAATCAAACAAATTTTCTTATAAATATCTAGTCAAAGTGTTCTCTGGTCAATCTTTCGTATTCTTCATGTAACTGAACAAATTCTATTAAATATTCGTTCGTGTTGGTTAATGATTCCATTAGTTTGGCTATTTTCTTTCTTATTAAATCTTCCAATATTACTTTGGCATATGGTCAACGATTGTTTGATAGTGAACATGTTTATTTAGTTCCTAAATTCGATATTTTCATGTAAAGAATTGAGATATTCGTATAGTTGCTCAACAGATGAAGCACCGAGTAAGACACAATGTACGCTATCATTCTTCAAACATCAGTTTACAAACGAAACCATTAGAGGGAATAAGATTGATGTGATATTTACCGATAACTAATTGGGGAACTGTACAATCGAATGTCAACACTGGAATTACAAGTTCTCGGATGTTGTTTTCGACGTTCATTTCACTTTACCAGTATTTTCCATGGGGGACCATCGTGATGTGTCCCCGTAGAAGCGAAAATTATTATTTATCACTTGAGTAAATGCAAAAACAATTTCTCCAAGGAATAGAAAAAGGAAAATAGGCGTTTTGTTCTCCGAATAAGAGAAAATCTACCTTCAATCGGTACGGAACTGTCGAGTTTGTTCGCAAGAACAGTATCGACATAATCCAGTTGTAGACGATCTAGCGAAATCCAAGATTAGGCATTTCAAAGAGAAGAAAACTTTCATTTCTTTCCACCCCAGTATAGTTTTGTTGAAACAGCGTATGTTGATCTTTTCCATTTCTTCTTCTTCGAGATTTTGCCCAGACTTATTTCCGCTCCAACGAACTTCTCATTACCGAGTATTTTCTGTACAAACGAATAAGTCTTACTTTCCACCAGTATCGAACAAATTAATACCATTTTCGCAAGCGATCTCTATTAATCCTTCGACAGTATCATCGAAGATTTACCTGCTGAATGTAACCCAAGTTCAGAAACTCACCGATGATACTCGTAAGCTATTCCAACCGAAATTCCTACTCAGAAATCAGGCTATTGTTTGAGAAGACATAATTCATAAACGAAAACTAATACCATGACATAGTTATTTCTAGTTGCTTTCCGCCTATGAATCGAGGAATCACTTAGATGAAAACAACAAGTAATATGTTCTATTTCTTTCGACCCATCGTATTATTATTATCGAGAAGATATTCGCTGTGCTATGGGAAAATAAATACTGATGTTTGAGATAATTGTCGAGAAATTTATTAGTAGAAATCGTGTAAATGTTCGGAAGGGAGAAAACGATAGACGAAAAACCAAATGTTCCGAACTTACTTGTAGATCATTCGGATCGATTTTGTTATTCTTGACATGCTTTGTTAGTAAACATAAACGTGCACACGCAATAGGAACAGTATTACTACTACTACAAAGCCTACCAAATAATTTCTTCTTTTCCTAGGCTTCCTTGTCTTTCTCGCTCTTTTCTTCTCTTGACATTGGCGAACGAACGCTTTGTCTATGGAACGGCAATAACAAACGATAACAAAAATCTCCTTTAAAGTTATCATCCATTATTTAAATCATTCTTTCAATACAGTTTGTTCTCTTGAAATTAGCTCTGCTGTTTGGCATTATTTCAGCACAAGGTGACCTAGAATTTTCACCTCACAAGCTGTCATTCATCAGGTCTAATAGTGCATCTAATGAACCTCATGGAATTGGTGGCTTTATCATTTAGATAAGAGTGAGACGGTGTTTGTCGTGCCCGACATTTTTACTATTCATATCCTTCAAAATAAGAATACTATTGGCAATAATAGTTCCATTTGTAGGAGTAAAATGTACTTTTAAACGTTCAATTTCCTCGCTGAGAATTTCATCATTCTACACTCGCCTTCCATCTTGTTTGTTCTGCTTTTTAACTTTCCTCTCCATCAACTTCAACAAACAAGCGTGCGCATAACCAATCATAGAATGGTTCGGATTTCGATCTTTTATTGACAACAATTAGAGAAAAGGACAGTATTGATCAAAGCCTTCAGGACGAACGAACGGTTGACAGACATCAAGACATTTCAATCTCTTCAGATTGAACTGTGTCGGCTTTTCAGTGAAGTTCTTGGTGATATTTGTGAGTTGATTCCACTCCACCGAGAGATTCAATAAACATGGAAGATGAGTTTTTGTTTGCAAGAGTANTCGATGGTTGCCAAGCATGAACATGTAATTGTGATCAAGCTGAGTGTGAATAGACAGAACTGTCTTGTTTTACACCAGGCGAGAGATGTTCGTGTAGGATCAATACCGAATCCGGCACTAACAATGCGTGAAATGAGATTGATGATGATGTATGCAATGTTGAAGATAGAACTAATGAGAAAATAGAACGTACAAGATGTTGTTCGATAGGACGGAACAGTTGAAAAGACGAGAATATTCATTGAGTTTCCAAGCATACCAATGAAAGCGAGAGAGCAACCAGCATAGATAGTCGTTTGTTGACTGATGTATAGCAAAGACATGGTCGATGAACTATTGTAAATAATATTCGAATGTTCATGGGAATGCTTCTTTGTATATTTATATAGAAAAATCTCTTTCTGGCAAAGAAATACGTATCAATTTTGAAGGTGATTCAATCAAGTACAGAAACGAAAGATCAGGAGCAGATTTTCCAGGTGAAGGATCTTAATGGTTTCAAGTCTATTACGGAAAATAATTATCATCAAAAAATTGTCACTAGCAGAATGATAGAAATAGGGATTTTCATTAGGGGTGTCAGTATTTATCGTCCCATTTCTAGGTACATTTTGTAGAGTTTTTTCAATTATAATCAAACTGTTCACGTACAGTTGTCCGTTCCCCCGTTCCATGAAGGAGGAACGCATAATACTTTGGCTTAAAATAACATATAAATGTGATTGAGCTATGCAGGAAAACTGCTAGAAAACGTAATTTAAAACGTGCAGCGTTCCCCATCCCTGATATAGACAGATCAGCGCCATATGCAGTGCGAGAATGGCATCAAGTGTAACTCAATATTTACTTTTGCCTAGTCATCAAAACCCCCTATTTTACAATTCGCTTTCATTCAAACTCCTTCATTCGAAATAAAGGGACATTGTTTGTGTCGCGGCGCCACATGTTGCGCTATTAATTCCTCCCCAATTAGAACTACCGATGCATGGTCGAATTGTGTAACCAGTCGGACAGGAACATATTGTTCCAGTTGCACTAATTTCGTAACCACTACCGCAAGCACCGACTCGCCATGTTACTCCGTTCAAAACAGTAGTAATCGTTGTATTGTATCGTAATGCTATTGCAAGAGCAGTGGCTACAGATGAATCAGTCGACGTTATACCTATTGGATCATTTGACCCGTACATTCTCACTTTTGAGTAGGTAGCACACGTCAACGCATTTTTAAATTCTCTCCATGCTGTACATTGAGCTGTTGTTGGAGTAATTCCATTTGTAAATACATCAGAATAGGTGGAAGCACATGCTATATCGATAATAATAAAGGATAAAAATCTAAATCAGTAGACTTACGCGGTGATGACGATATCGAATCTAAATTATAAAGAAGCGAATATATTTTCTCAATTGGTCACGTTTTTCTGATCAGAATGAGTACACTTACCTAATACGATCACAACGATTGGTATGGTAATCGCTGCCAGCGTCACAAGGCCTAGCAACACTAAAAATTGTATGCAAAGACATCGTGACACGGTCCACCTAGCGATAAATAATAATAAAGAATACAATTGAGAACTTGTTTTTACAATTGTCATACTTCGGTTTTGCACGTGACGGGAGAGAATGAAAATAGTTCGGAGGATTTCGATAAACAACATTGGATTGTTCAGCAGGATCTATCGTGCTGATCCTAGTTGACTTTGTACTGAGCTTGGAATTGATTGTTTCATTGGGTTTTGATTTCGACTTAGCCATTCAAACTGTGCGCAACGTCGAGCAAACTTTCCGCTGCAGAAATAGTTGAAT